CCCCTAATCTTTTATTGTATTTTCTTTCTTTATTCCGTTCTTATTCATTTAATGGATTCTGTAGAGTATATAACGTAAGACAGTACCCTGGCATGATTAATCACATTTGTTGTTATGGATTTTGTTTTTGAAGGCTTAGATTTTCCTATTTCAGCTTCATTTAGTTTTTTTTTGGGCTCATTTACAATCATTCCATGATTTGTAATGTTCTAATTGTTCTTTGTAATGTCCAGCTAGCTTATCCTAGCCTATATTTATCTTGATCATTTTTTAAAAAAATATTTTGGTACTGCTCTTTTACTTTATTAATTCTCTTATTTCGATCTTCTGATTTCCTACCGCCTTCTAAGTTCCTCTGGTTTTCAGATCACTGATGTGTTTGTTTTTGTTGAAAATTATAGGCGAGTGGTCTTTATTATCCTGTGATGATGGGCAGGAGAGACAGTGTCCGGTCCTACTTCGAAAGGGCCATGGCATAAATTCCAAGGCCAGATGGGTAATATTTCAGAGACACTTCGCTTGTTTGGCCAACAAAGGCTTTAGTGAAAGGGAAACTGTTGCACTTTTGGGTATATCCACTAAACTTTATGGTTTTCACATTCTCATAATTGTATTCTCCTGAGCAAAATGATTCATGTTTGAATTGGTTCTTTCGTTTGCTGAAGGTTCCCACAATATAGGCCAAATTGGGTGTCAATTCATTCAACCTCGACTGAACAACTTCTTGGGGACTGGACAACCAGATCAAACCATTGATGTTGATTTCATTGATGATATGAGATCAAACTGTGAAGGCGGTAACAGCAATGCCAGGAATGGGGCTCCTTCGCCCATTGGAACAAGGGCTATGAGTGAGTTGACTGTTGGGGGGATGACTTACTACCAAGAGATGTTGTCTTCAATTCCATCTGGATCAGGGTTCGACTCCCATTATTATCAGAGTTTGCTGAGAGGGAGAGGGATACTATTTGCAGACCAGCAGCTTATGGCAAACGATAAGACAGCTGAAGCTGTTAGAGACTAGGCTGCGGATGCAGCATTTTTCAGAATGGATTTTGCCAGGGCCATGGTGAAGTTGTCAAGCCTTGGAGTGCTTACTGGATCTCAAGGGCAGGTCCGAGTCAACTGCTCCTTCCCTATAGTTTCTAACAAGCAGCACCTGGCCATGTGAACCTGTGGATTATTGATGGATGTTTTGCCATTTAGTACTAACTTGTGGATTATTGATGGATGTTTTGCCATTTAGTAGAGAATTACTTATTTCTATCTTTCTACATCTTTCTTACACACACAATCAGATATTTTTCTTCGCATATGTGTGTGTGTGCAGGTCTGTTTGTGTGATTTGTAATGTGTTTGCTAAATCTAGATTTGTATTATGTCTGCATGTAGATGATATATAATGTCTACATTATATTGAATACATTGATGGGATCTGTAGACTGAAGCTATGAATTATCCCTTACTGGTTAGTGTATGACATTAATTTGCCATGATTACCTGCCCCTTGTTTAGGCTGAGCATTTGGAATTTGGGGGTTTTATAGTTTTTATCCAAGACTAAGAAGATGAAAAGGTTTTGATGATAAAAATTCCTAGTTGGACCAAGCAGAAACCATAAAATTGTCCCTAAAGAAATTCACTATGACTCCCTGGAGTCTGGACTACTTTGAGTATAGACTATATAGTATAGTATAGTATTAGTATATCCCTTTATTTGAACACCCAATGTCTTGCCTTAATAAAGAGAAAAAGAAAAGAATGTATATACTTATATATATACATATATGTATAATCCTACAACCTTAATAAAGAGAAGAAGGAAGTGTGTGTATATCCCTTTATTTGAACAGTCAATGTCTTGCCTTAATAAAGAGAAAAGGGAAAGAATGTATATAGTTATATATATACATATATGCGCGCATAATCCTACGACCTTAATAAAGAGAAGGAAGTGTGTGTGTGTGTGTCAGAATATTTCACAAAAGTACGTCGGAAAATTGGCCAGACCCAAACCCAAAACATAACTAGTTACAGAATCCAATAGTAAAGCCACAAAGAACAGGATGATATACGGTAAAAAGGAAAATAATAATAATTTGAAAACGTAAAGAGGTTTAACAAAACTTCTGGTTATAACCAACTAAAAAAGGCGGTGAAAAATCATGAACAAAACTAGTCTGTCGTTAAAATCAAATAAAAACCAATGAAACAAGAAAAAACAAAACCTTCTGGATCAAATTAGTGAATAAGTTGGATTGAAAATTCATGATGGAATTAAACGCAGAAAAAAATTAACCGAAGTGGTTTAAAGCGGTAAATGACCATGCATCTAATGACAATAATATATTTTAATGGGAATATATATATCATCTCTACCATACCATACCATTCACGCGTCTATCATAAAGGACAAAATATATATATATATATGAATATAATCAGAGAGAAAACACCAAATGAACCTCAAAATACAATCTTAAATATTCATTCAAAAGCAAGACATGCATATGATATGTTTGGAAGCACCAAATCTAAGGAGTATGACAATGAAACATTCATTCATTCATTATAATCTAACGAAGAGAAGAAGCAAGCAAGCATATATATATATATATATAATTTTACAGACTATACACATATATATAATAACCCAAATATGCAGAAAAAGAAAAGATATCATACCAAAGAATATGAGAGGAAGTACCCTTGATTTGATGATGGTGATGGAATAGCCACGATGAAAAAGTGGGAATGTGAAAACACTCAAGGGGTTTAATTTAGTTGATATGATCAAGGAAGGCCCGAGATCGATCAATAAATTAAAACACTTGAGTGTCTTCAATGTCACACTTTTCTTCAATCTTCAATGGCTTAATTCCATCAATTTCTTCTCTCTTTTGCACGTAGTATTTGCCTCTGACGGCAGGCCGCCCATGAACATCTTGCTCAATTTTACTTCATCGCCCCTTTATATACAGACATATAGAGTGTAGGGTCTACGTTTCCTCTTAGCCTATATTTGAAGCTATATATACACACCGTTTATATACATACATAAATACATACATACATGTATGGTGTAGGGTTTACGTTTCCTCTTGGCCTATATTTGAAGCTATATATACTCGTATATATGTAACGTAGCGTATTATATACATACGATCATACAATAACAGCCACCAAACTTTTGATTTATCTACAACTGTTTCTTATTCCTCCTCCATCCTTTCCCTGCCCCTCCTTGCCAGGTAAAAATAAATAAATAAATAATTAACACAATTATTATATTACTTTGTATTTATTATTAGTACCATCGTTCTAATACATTAATGCAGGAAATTAATATATAATATGATAGTAATAGTGAGTAGACCATGTCTACAAAATTATATAAATAACGATACAGTGGGAAAAAATTAAAAATTCTAAACTCAACACTCAATATAACATTACTTCAAACTTCAACCCGTCAAATCTCATGATAAAGCAAACACGTAATTCTATGGATCTATGCTTATTTTTAACTCCCCAAAGCATTTCATCGCTTACCACACCTTTACTCGTCCGTAATTCTTTCCTCATTAATATTTACATTAATATTTAGGTTAGAGAGCTTGTATCTAGGTTAGAGAGCCTATTGGTAAAATAAATAAATAAAAAATTATGAGTTAATTTCATTGACACCCCTTTATATTTGGTCTATTATCATATTCAAACAACTTTCGAAAATTACTATCATTACAAACGTTTGGTCAATTTTTCACTCACACCTCAAAAGTTATTTTCAGTTGTGTCAAACCACTTTTTGCATTTAAAAATACATTATTACCCTTTTGACTTTAGGTTGACTTATAAAAAGATTGTTTTAGGTATAAAATGACTTAAATACCTACTAAAACGCATGTTGGGAAATTGGAATGGCCGTGAGCAAAGAGATGGTGACACAACTCCGACGAGGCAACGGTTGGTGTTCACTGTGGTTGTGGCTTGGGACTCGATGGTGGTTCACTGATGATGATTGTTTCGATATGGTAGCAGTTGGTGTTCGTTATGGTTGAGCCTTGGGCTAGATATTGGGTCACCGATTTGTTATTTTCAGTAACATGAGTGATCTTTGTGAAAGCCATTGAAGAGGTTCAAAGCTTAATAGCAAATGAGGGCAAATTCGTCCTTCTATAATCATTAAATTTTGGATTAAAAATCATTAATAAATGGGGGCAAAAAAGTCATTTCACATCTCTTTTAACTATGTTGATGACGAAAATGTATTTTGAGGTGTGAGTGATAATAATTTGGCCAAACCTGAAGGGGATGTCAGTGAAATTAACTCAAAAATTATTCAATTATATTAACTAATTATGTGAACTCATCAAAATTAAAATTGCATTTCTTGTAATTAAATTGAGATATTAAATTAAAACAGAAATTAAAAAACATTCTGAACAAATGGAAACATACCCAAGTAGTTAGTTAACTATAATTTGCAATTAGTTCTTAATTGGTTGACTCTCATATGTCAAATTCAACTGTCCATTCCGCTGCATAGCCATTACATAGTATGCAAAAGACTGGTCTAATTTAATCATGAGCGTGACGCCTTGTAACTATTGTAACCTTTGTTAAAGGTAGCATTCTTCGACTTACTACATTTACAAATTGTAGCAAGAGAACTTTGTACAAAAATCCACCATTATAAATTTGGTGCCTTAGAATTGAAATTCGTGGAATAAGATAAAATCAATTCACAAAATTAAACTAAAGTTTTCTTCACTTCCAAGACTCTAATTCCATGCAACAAACACGGCGTTATATTCCAAGACTCTAATTCCATACAGCAAACACAGCGTTATAAGATTCATAATGTACAAAGCTTAAAGACCCCTTTAGTTGATGGCACGATCAACCATATGGATTTGAATAATAGGAACAAATTTAAACATTCTACCCAACTAAAAAATAAAAAATAAAAATTAAAAAAAAAAAAAGTCAACTCAAAACTAAGAGGGACAAAAAAATAATGATTGATTAAATAAAAAAAATTCCTTGAAAAAACAGCAAAGGTTTTCTGTCATTATATAACAAGAAATCCAAAATGCCAACACAAACGCCCGATTACTTACAGAAAAAATAATTAATATAGCCTATGAAAAGATTTTTTAACCAATTTCCCAAAAAAAAAAAAAAAAAATTTAATAAAATTTCCAACCCTCACTCCCCTTCTTTTTGCTTCCCTCCACCAAAATAAGTCTACAAGGGAGAAAAAGGGACTAATGTTACAAAAATATTAAATCAAGAGAACGTACAGGGAAATGTCAATGGGCTGGATCATTTGTATGTCTTGTTGAATCTTCTGCTGAGGAAATTGGAGTACTGGAATTTGTTGAGGCCTCAATGTTTGGAACATCAGCTATCGGTTGTGGTGAGACAGGGGGAGGAAAGGTTTCACTTGTCACTGGTGGGCTTCTAGTTCTAGATGGGGAAACACCAGTTGTTGCTTGTAGTGGGACGGGCAGAGGAAAGGTTTCATTTGTCACTGACGTGCTTCTATTTCTAGATGGGGAAACCTCAGTTCCTACTTGTAGCGGGACAGGGAGAGGAAAGGTTTCATTTGTCACTGGAGTGCTTCTAGATGGGGAAACCTCAGTTGCTTGTAGTGGGACTGGGAGAGGAAAGGTTTCATTTTTCACTGGTGGGCTTCTAGATGGGGAAACCTCAGGAGGTGAGCGTGGAGATGTAGGGGAGGGTGGGGTAACAGAGAGCATCCTGGAGACTGCAGGGATGGGGTAAACTTCTGTAACCTCCTCTATGCCTTCGTCCAAATACACAACATCCTGCATGGTGAGTTGGTGGTATTCAACAATCTCCCTCAAGAACCGGTTCTCACGTGCATAAACGGAGTTTTCATGGGCCAAACGAGCCTTCTCGGCCAAAAGTGTCTCAAGTTGAAGGCGTATCTGAGATTGCAAAAATGCACAGTAAAAATGTGAGTCAGTTATGTGATTACACTTCTCTCACAAATCACAACTGAAAATGCATGTGACATCATTGGAACCAATGGATGCGGTTTGTGTACGTATGCATGTATATTGATGTCACAATATCTAAAAGTAATTGTACTCACGATCGATTTGCCTAAGCTACATTTCTCATAAGTGAATGCACACATTATAGAGATATGAGCATGTAAAAAATAAGCATTGGACTTAAAAAGACTCTTTCTGCACAAAAAAGAAATATATGAATACCAACCATGTCATCATCTTCAGGGTTGACACCTTTTTCACGAGCTTCTCGAAGGATTTTATTTTCTTCTTCTAGCTGAGAACATCTTTCCTTTGCGAAAGCCAGATCTGCTTTGACAGTTTTCAGCTCCCGGAGAAGAAGTTTTGCCTTGGCAGCTGTCGCCATTGCCACCTGTGACCCAAAACAAAGCCCCACAATGCATTTCACCAGCAAGGAGATATAAGAAAAAGGTTTTCAACATTTCAAATATACACCTCCTTTAAGTGTTAATTAAGTTGCAGATGAGTACTCAACAATCTGTATCCCCCAAAATGCTACTAAACCTCCTAAGTAAAATGAAATCCAATTGAATGTTATAACTGAAAGCTAAAGCCTATTTTGAGAAAAGGCCAAAATAGAATTATAACTCGAGTCAAAGAAGCATTTTAGGAACTAGAAATACTCTGTAGTATTATTGTTCTGTATGCAGTTTCATGTGCATGCAGTAGAGTCAACAGTAAATTCTAAGTACTTAGAATTGTTTGGTTGTTTCTTAACTTTCAAGAAAATTAACAATGAATTCTAGTCAAACACATTTAGTACACTTCTACTACATTGACCACCATTGCACAATTACACATTTGCCACCTTACGTCTCGGGATGCCTTGAGTTGAGTTTCTTGGTTGGTTTGCATCTGCGGTTGTCTGGGTTGAACTGAAGGTTGGTGCCATTGGTTATGTACACCTGGGACCTGATTCTGTTCCTCAAAGATACTTCCTTTCCTTCTAATTTGCAACTTGCGGGTTTCTTGGATAATATCTGCAGTTCGATTTTCCACAATGGTACGTCCTTCCTGAAAAATATGAAATGTAGAAGCATGATCATTTCTAGTTCTAGACAAGGCAGGAATATTACATATTCTGTGAGAGAGAGATATGGGGCTTCATTATAAAATTAGAAATCAAACATGAGGTGGAAGGATGGAACGGACTCAGAAAAAAGAAAATAGATAACTAAATTCATTTCAGCTAAGTGAATATTAATCCTTGGTTAATTTTAAAAACATACTGCAAGGTAACTTGCGTAGTTACACATACAAAAAACTTCAGGTGCCAATTAGAACTTGAGTATATAATCACATTATCAAGCGTTGGCATTTTAGATATAGACTTGCTAACCCACACCAATTGAACCAAAAGTGCTGTTTCCTTAATATAATAGAATGTATTGGAAGAACATAATCTAATATATCTTACCTCCAAGGCATTTCCAATGGTGTCACCAATGTGATTAAGGGACGAGGTGAGTGCATCCAAGCCCTTCCGTAGCCTTGGATTGTCCATTTTTCTAGAGCCCTCAGGTGACTGATATAGCTGACAAAAATGCAATTCAGAGAAGCAAGAAGGGAAAATTTATCAAAGAATCAAAGCTTAGCCACCTAAACATGATATATAACTACAGTATGGCAACTACATGACAGAAAAATGGTTGCAAACAACATATCAAAATATTACAAAGCATATTTATGATTTAAGTTTCTCTGTTTGTTCTTCTGTCCACATTATGCCAGAAGCAGCATTTAAAGTTGATATTCACCTGACGTGTGGAGGTATTGAGCATTTCTGGCCTCATTCTGCTAGGCGTTTCAAATTGTTGGGGCGCGTCTTCATCCTCAAGAATTTCTTTAGCTTTCTTAGCTAGAACACCCCAAAACCCCTTGGGTTCATTCAAGCTTTTCATCGATGTATAATCATAGGTAGAAGAGTCCTACATTTTCAGGTATGACAGCACATCATATTATTGATGTCAAATGAAAATACTTATAAAATCTGAATGCCGGAAAGAATTAGTGCAGCCGCCCAAAGTAGTTGGAGGTAGACTTAGTTGAATTAAGTTTGAGTTTAAGCATTAGAATACTTTTGTGATAGAAAAGGAAATTTAAAATAAGCACAAAAAAATTAATAATAATAATACCTGCCCATAAATCTACAAATTATGTTGACTTTATAATAGATATAAAAGGCACCAGTGGATTCAATCTGATTTTTATGTAATGTTAACAAACAGAGAACAGTCTCAGATAAATTGACTAGGTATATAAAAAAATCATTCATACATGGATCTCTTTCATCACTGAGAAAAAGATTTGTACACCATGACTGCATACCATCAATTCCAAGAAATGACAAAAATTGTGTCATTGCAACTACATATGATATACCAGGAAAAACAATTTTAACAAGAATGCATTGTCAATTTTAGGTTTGCATACTAGCTTGGCCTCTTAACTCCCGAATATATAGAACTTTTTCCAAAAGGTAATATATTGATTTTTCTTGATCAAAATCATTTGATTCTTTTCATATTGACAAACTCACAACAAGGCACAAAGCAAGGTCTTGTATCCAAAGTAGAAAATGTAAAGGACCACACAAAGAATATAGATTCGTAAATTTTATCCTACAAAAGGAATCATACCATCAAAAAGAAAATCAAGATATGCCAATGAGTCATTCTAAATTGATTTTGGAATGTTCAAGTTTTAAGGTTAAGTGGAGAGATTCAATTTTGCATAGTTTATGTTTTTGTCACGAAATTGCCAGAATCAGATCTAGATCATACAATCAAAAACAAAATACACCCCAGGACATAAAAGTTCTACACAATAATCATACAATTTTTGAAGAAATATAGAAAAGACTAATCATATATGCATATATGTGTGTAAATGGATCTGCAGGTTGGAAAACCTAGAAATCAAATGAAAAGGGTAAGATAGAGAAAGGGAACCTTGGATCTGTCATTGAAAGAGGAGTGAAAAGCAGAGTCGCCATAAGCGGAGGAGAGAGAGGAATCACGATGAGCGGCGGAGGCTCTGATGGCCTGAGCGGCCAGAGACGACGACGGCGTAGAAGAAGAGGAGGAAGAGCTGCCGAGATCGGGCGGGGTATAAATCTCTTCCTTGAACGTAGAAGCCCTGCTGATTCCTTGTCTCCTTCTATACGCCATTTACGAATATGATCAACAAAACACCGCTCGGCCACCGAAACCGCCACCACCGTCACCGTCACCACAGCCACCGCAAAGAACGGCGTGTTCAGTAAATAAGGAGGAGAGAGAGAGGAATGCACGTTTTACGACCTCTGCTTTTTGGAAGCCAGAGAGAGAATATGAGAACTTTATTATAATTTCAGAGAGAGAGAGAGAGAAATGAAACGAGTATCAATGGGAGGTCTAAAGGTACAAGTGTGATCGAACCGTTGATTTGGCGATCCAAAGCCAGATGGGGTCGGTCGTTTTCCTACAAAAATCAGTTACTTTGGTTAGTTGTTGTTGGCGGGTAGATCAGATCAGATCAGGGTAAGCTCTTCCCTTCCGGTCTACCCAGTCCATCAAAGGAAACCTTTTGGAAAACATTTTTTCAAAACTAAAAAACATAACATTGTCAACGAAATGGATCTGTCACGTATATTAATACATATACATATATATATATATATATGCACGCATGTATATACGTATACATAAATAGTAGTAATGGGTTCCAACTCATGTACCATTTCAATGTTTGGTGCAATGTTTAGGTCTTCCGTTCCCTTGGCAAGTAAGTTGCTAGGTTGTGTTTGGTATTAGCCAATGATTTGCAATTATGTATGAGTCAGTCAATTTTCACAGGTAGGTGGGTAGACTTAAGAAAGGAAAATGATTTTGCAACTGAAATCATAAACCCAAAGAGACGGTGTTTTATTGGTAAGTGGCTAGCGAGTGGAAAGTGGAATAAGCTCTTTATTATGGATTGTGATTATGACAGTGTCTTAGTTAAGTAATGAGTAATGACATAGGATATGATATAATAATGGGTTTTCCTTGTATGTATGTTTGGCCTAATTTAATTATCTTTTATGAGTTAGATTTGGATAGCTTGGTTATAATAAATACAATAGTTGGTTCTTAGTTTCTCAAACAATTAACAAGCTATTGCTTCCATGTGATATATAATTAGTAATTAAAACCTGTACTTTTAAGAGTTTCCCCTTATTAAAAGAAAATAAAAATCAAAGGAATAACAAGATATACATATGTTTTCTAGTAATTATCAAATGGAATATAATGTTCGTATTTATTTTTTATTATTATTATTATTATTTTTTTTTTTTTTTGCATTGGATAAGAAAAACACACACTGCTCGGCATCCGGGCTCAAACCCGAATGGCAATACCTATTGGTTGAAGTAGATTCTTCTTTTTGATCAATCAAAAACCCTTTCCAAACTGTACAAGCTTCTTCCTAAGCTTACAGTTTTCTTGATGTAGATGATGATACCTATATATATACATATATATATAGTATAATGAAGTACTACTATTGTTATCTTCTTGATGTAGAGAGGTTATACCATTGGGTTATATGTCCTTTGGTGAATATAATGTTAATTGGCTACATGCCCTTTGGTGCAACCTGATGGCATTTTCTATAATATTTAAAAAAAATAAAATAAAATAAAAGAGAGAGAGGAGACTATTCCCATGGTAAACCAGATTTCCCTTCTTAATTGAGGTATTCCATTTGTAATTTAGGATGTGTTTTGGGCTAAACATGTTTGATATGAGATGGTGATTCTTCATGGATGTGTTTTAAGATTGGTGATTTCGGAGTTCCTCTAAGGGCACAAACTAGCATGTTCATTCTCTTAATTTCAGTTCAATTTCAGTAGCTTTAATTTCGCGCACCAGCATTATCATGCAATTCAAGTAATAAAACTTTGCTGCATATATCTGTTTACGTGAACATTTCTAATATCAACTAACCAAGAATTACCTCAAACTATAATAATAAAACAAGGATAAATATAGGAATATCAGTAGGTTTAAGTATTAAAACTTCACAACCTTGTTCATGATCTCATTTACACCAACTTGTGCTACTTTGCAATGCAAAACAACACCGGTGACAATTTTGCAGTTGATTCACTGGTGCGTGCACCCACAGAGACCAGTGAAGACAATGAGACCGACTAAAACAGGCATGTCTGTGGAAAAAGGAAAAAAGCACATACTACACAACTTGCTAATATAATTTGATATATGGATTGAAATAAAATATACAGATCTAGTAATCCAATGATATTTTGCATTTTGGCCATTTGACAACCGTGTGCCATTTTGGTGTCAACGAAGCCTAAGTAGACTCGAAGGGAATGGTGCAACCTCCATTGACAGAAGAGTAAATAAATAAACTTTTCTTTCTACAAAATATTGGTCCTTTGAAACTTGCTACAGCTGAAGAGCCAAATCAGTACCTGTAGTATCTAAAGTGGACCATCTTTGATGATTAAGAAATGGCTGAGTGCTAGGTTCTGCTCGGTGGGTACAGTTAGAAACCCTCTTATATCTCATCTGGTCAAATGGAGACCCCTCAGCACCACAACCTTGCTGGAAACTAGGTTGCAAGGATCTATCCTTCCCCAAAAGGTTCATTTGATTGAGTCGTGATTTCAAGAAGGGTAGATCGAAAGTGAACTGGGAAACTGGCTGATCGTGCTGGTTTTGGTTTGATTCGGAAAAGTGGCCTACCTGAGACGAGCTACTGACTCCATCATTTGGTTCCCATGCAGCTACGGCTTGATCCTGTGAACCCATGTGCATGAAACCATTGGTCTGGCTCAAACTAGGAAACTCCCTCCTGTTGAAGGGCCCTGAGGATGATGTGGAGCTGTTGTTTCTCGACTTGAATTCAAACAAGTTTGACTGAAGATTATTTGAGGCTGAACGCATTGGCCACTCTTGATTATCCAACTTGCCTTCATTCACAGTGATTGTCGTCAACCTATTGCCAGTGTTGCTGACTCCAAAAGGTGAGGAATTGAAATCTCCAGCACCAGCAGTGGAAGAGTATGAACCCAACTGAATCTTAGTGCTTTGGTTCTGAAGGACCTTCTCTGTTCCAGAAACACCAAAAACATTCATCTGATCATTGGTAGTTGGAGCCTTCTCTCTTCCAGAAACAGCAAAAACATTCATCCGATCATGGGTAGTTGGAGCCTTCTCTCTTCCAGAAACAGCAAAAACATTCATCCGATCATGGGTAGTTGGAGCTTTTTCTCTTCCAGAAACACCAAAAACATTCACCCAATCATGGATAGTTGGGGCATCATTGTTGCGGGTAATTTCTCCTATTGGAGCACAGTGATGATTACTCATCCTGTCACCCGTACAAGCCTTTTCTCTATCATCAGCATCAGTTAAATCAATTACGTCACTGGTTGTATCAAGGACAGGATGACACACAGGAGGTTGATGGAGGAATTTCTGGGATGTATCAGTGATAAGGTTATCTAGAGTACTAGGTCTTCTCTGGGTAGAGAGAAATGCAGCAGGAGTTTGACACTTTTGAGCCTGAACCCAAGAGTTAGAACTTGGAGTCAGGAAACTGGTAGCATCTAGCCAACATCCTTGTAACTTCCTTTTGGCAATCATTTGAGCTGTTGGTCCTAAACCTTTAACAAACAGCATCAAGCTTTCCCTGTAACTAATATCCTGCTGATTCACCTAGAGAAACAAGAAGATATTGTCACCTCCCAAGCATTATTAAGTTTAAGACAAGTAAAATGGATCAGACATTTACAATCATTTATGTAAAATAAAGAGATCCAGCAAAGTAATCATCCTCATATTTGGATGGTTAGCATCATCTGACAAGTCATTCTTTACCATTCACGACAGTAGAGGAAAATACTACTTACATGATAATATTTTGGGATATTGATCATGTATATAAGGGTTACTATAACTTGCATGCAATCACAAATTAAAAAGAATTAAATTTATTCGGTGGTCACAGACAAATATGATAGATAAGTAAAAAATCATTTCGACTCAAAAGATTCCGGTTGGACATAGTGAACAGACTTATTAAAGACTTCAATTACCCCAAAAATAACTAATCGGGTGAGAGTATACTGAGTTCCAATCATATATCCAACCACAGAGTCGGGGACTGCTCCAAGCATTACCCACAAGGTGACGAGAAATGGACCAAACCCTCAAACAGTTAACACAAATAAGAATACAGTGGATTGAAAACGATATGCAAAACTCTTCTTGAAGAAAAATAATAGGAAAAAATAAGGGGCATCGGCTAATCTGATTAGGTCTGTCAGGCAGCACTATTCTTGATAAAGGGACCAACCTCACGTAAAGGTGGGTCTAGAAGGTCAACTGTACGAAAATAAGACAACAAAAAGGATTATTTTATTAACCAGTACCCAACTTGAGGGAAGTCTTATCACAGAAACACAACGGTTATTAAATCATCAGTTCCATGTAACTTCAATTCACATCAAGGCACGTTTGAATTGATGGAATGTTTACATACAAAAGAAAAAAGCACCAAATATAGATTTTATGCGCGAATTTGCCTAAAAAAACATCAAAAGGAAAAAAGAACTTACAAGAACTAGTGGTTTGGGGTCATTGTAGATCATTGAAACTATTGAATCATTCTCATTATAGGACTCAGAAGGTTTATATGTGCAACGCCGATCTGCTTCGCTATAACTAGAGCTTCTACCATCTCTAGCACCTGCTTGGAGGATAAATAATGATTGTGAATCAGCAATTGTAATACAAAGTTACGATGAACTTTGCTTACTATAACAGCAGAGTTAAATTATGTTTGTAGAAACTTGCAGAAGTTTAAAACCTAAAACCAAAATGCGCCATACTAGGGTTTAGAAACTCAACTCCATTTGTACCTTGGTTTCTACAGGAGCAAATATCTGAAAGTTTAAACAGAAATTTAGACCCCTTTTAAAGTTAATATCATTTACGCAAAATTAAGCTACAAAAAATAAGCCCCATACATCATGGGAAAAAAAAAATGATGCAAAGGTATCAATAATATTTAGTTGTACAGTCTGCTACCCATTGCTGAAGTGGCTATTATTATTGCCAGCAATTGATCCCCCTGAGGGAGTTTAACACCATGTTGTGACCATGAAAACACAAATTTCTATAGAAATCACTAAAGTTAAGCATTCAAAAGGAAGGAAAAAGAAATGCTTCTTAATACAATCTGTGGATCGAGGACCGTGCAAAAGGCAGCACATAAATCATGCTATCAGGCTTATGGGTGTTGCCAACTTAATGATCAATGAGATGCTTAGGGGAAAAAGAAGATTGAGAAGGTTTTGATCCACTCATGAAGTAGCATGAGGAGAGCTGAGACTCTTCAATTACAATTCAGAACAAGAAACGCATGCACATACAAATGCACATATTCAATAAATGTAAAGGTATAATTAAGCACATTTCTTTAAACAGATACATGAACTTCATAAAGTGGATAAACCCCATTTATGTTTTCTCAATGAATGAACTAACTTAAAGTACATTAATATATGGTACCCATTGCCAAATTTATCACTGAAGTATTTTATACATGAAAATTGTCTTTGAATCAAATTTTAGAGGAATCTCAGGATTATAAAGTCATATAGCAGTTTTCACTTCTTACCAGAAAAATGATCTCTTGTGTCAACATGAGTAGTTGTACTAGGGAAGCTGTGGTTTCCTCGGACACTTCTCCTGAAATTTGTTGGACAACCTAAAGAACTTTGTGCTTCTTTAGAGGTAGCATCAATGGTCATACTACCAGATCCAACATTTGTAGCAAGTCCAGGGCACATTTTAAAAACCTTTGCTTCACCCTGGGGCCTCCTAGTGGATCTTCGTCTTGTCCCCGAGAATTCCGATTCAAAGTTTTCCGGATCATTTTTTAGGGCATCAAAAACCTTCTTAGCTAGTTCTTGTATAGCACGAGCCTGTAATATTTCAGACTCTGGTATTCAGTTACTGGAATAAATCAAGATCTTGTAGCTAGACCAAAATGATTTTTGACCAAGGAGTCAGGATTCTTAGTACAATGCTACCAGAATCTGGTAGGGAGTTCATGACCATACCTGTCTGAAATAAATGGTCGCTGAGGAATTAAAATGCATCGCATTTCTTGATATTGAAAATACATCATGCTGCATAATTATCAAAAGGTAATGGTCAGATGGTAACCCCTATGATACATGTTGCATGGATAAGACATATAGATTGTATCTCTTCAATAACCAGAATGTTGCATTATTCACTCAAAAAAAGATTAGCCTTGAATAATCCAGATTGTCCTGTCCACAGGCCACATATAGGACCAGTATACACAATGGCTACACTAATGCCACCTAGATGGACAACAAAACAAGTTGTAAAGGTATGTGAATTGAAGGCCAACTTTGATACCAAGGAAATCCAGGATCATCCAGACCTGTAGGACTTGTAGAATAAGAATCTGGGATATTGATCACAATTTGTACAATGAGAACTAGAATCTTCTGGCATGACCACATTATCAGTGAACCATGTTGGAGAAAGTGTGATAAAAATAAAGAATTACCTTTAAACCAAAAAAGAAAAAATGAAAATGGTAACAGCATTAAAATTGGAAGCATGCATACAGAAGGATTTCCTAATAGGATAATATTAGAGGATAAATTAAAAAAGAAAAACCACTAGATTACAAGTCAAAGAAGACAAGATTATCAAATGAAACAAGTGAACTGAATAATTTATACATGAACAAAAAGCAGTGATGTTAACAGATACACTGATTGATGATGATGAACAATTATTATTCAAAATAGTAACAATGATAACAAAAGTAACTTCCGGGAAAGGAGCAAACCTCAAATTGTTCAAGACTAGAATACATTCCTTCATGAAGCTTGGCCCTCATGGTGCCAAAATCCATAGGCTCTTTAATGATCTCATAGTAATCCTCAACCTTACAGAAGCAGAGCATTTCATCAGTTACTGTAGGTTAAAATGAGCAAAACAACTGTTAAGACCCGAAACAAACCTCACTGGGATCAACTGGCTCAGCAAATATTTCATGTGTATCTCTCCTAACATCAAAGAGAAAATATTCAAAAAATGAATATATAATATACTTTCAATGAGAAATTAACCATATATGTTCTTTCCTAATCATTTGATTATTACACTTTTCTTAAATTTCAGATAATGCAAGAAATCACCATATATATGCTAAACATAATATTCTTAAAGAAACTCACTTTTGCAATATGTCAAGGATAAGCTCAAGTATACGTTTTTCTGGCATCCATGGCATGGATAGCACTGTAGATGGTTGACCTAATATAAATCAGTAACTAAACTGAAAATGGAGGTAACCCTTGATTATTGAAATTAAGAACTGAGAAATTCACATTTCAGAACGTCAACAAGAAAGAGGCTAACCAGTACATGCAGCATGGTCATCATGTTTTGGGCTTTCTTTAGCCTTCAAAAGTAGTGGTTGACCTAATTGAAGAAGTAAGTGAATTGAAATTTGATATCATGTTATTTTGACTGAAACTTAACAAGTATTATTAACCCATCTGTTTAGAAAAAACACTCACCACAGTTTGTTGAATGATCTTCACGATTTGGACTCTCTTTACCCTGCAGAAGATTAGAAATAGGATCTGAAACCAACTCTCACACAACATAGAACGGCCAAAACTAAATCCTTGACAGAAGACCGAATAATGTGACAATCCGAAAGAACTACTGATTGATATCCATTTGTGTCTACTTGATAGGCGAGAAGAACCTACTGGCACCATATTCAGCAACCGAAAAAGTAAACATATAGATTCTCAATGGAATTGGTAGAACAAATAGTTATGGACTTCCTTTGCCAATAATCTTCAAAATTCTTATCATTAGCTACTCTGAAATTTACCCTGAATTGCCATGATTACTTTACAAGGATTTTTTAGTACTCATGATTGGCTCCTAATCATTCACATTATCATCCAGAGATTTTAACTGAAACGTACTCAACAAATTTTAAAGAAAGGCTCAACCTGAGAATTAATCTTTTACTGGGTCAACAAGACCACCATAGTGGAAAAAATAATAATGTCTGGCAAATTTTCTTTTACAGAAATATGGATATTTTTCTTGATAATCAGTTTGCATACATATCAAGCATATCATCATTCTTTATAAATATTATGTATGGTGAAATTGTAATAATAGATTCTCTTGAAATATTATTCTTTAGCAATCTGTCCTTACCAGCCATGTTCAGGCAACTTGGCCTTCAGAACTTCTTTATCAAGCCAAAACCTAACAAGCTTGTTAGGATGCAAAAAAATTCCGACAGCAGTAAAGGACTAATTCCCCTGCTACCTGCCAAGCTAGGGTTATGTAGAATAACCTTTTCCAGCGCAATTTTGAAAATAAATTCAACAAAAGGAGCAGACCAGGATTTAAAATGGAGATCAGAAGAAACAAATATTCATTTATAAGTAGTTGAGCAAAAAACCTAGTTGATTAGTTGAATGAGATTTGTGATTCGCGTCCTATGACAATAATGCTTATGAAACCTGATCTAGTACACACAAAAATCCTACAACTCTCCAAGTCTCTGCAAAAATTGGACCATTGATGTCAGTGGTAACTATTAGACGGAAAACCCTAGCAGAGGGCCTCGCAAGTCCTTGAAGGTAATATGTTTTTCAGGTATAATGGATTTAAATGGAATTACATAAGCAGTTGCAGGAACTCAAAAAAGCATTAGTGGGTTTCGTTGATCTGAATTTTCTGATTACTATTGAAGGTAATATGTTTTTCAGGTCTAATGGATTTAAACTAAAGCATGCACTCCAGTTCACTTTACACAGCAAATTACTATTGTCAATTGCCACCACTACTCAACAAACAACAAAAGAGAAAAAGTAAAATGATAGACCCTTTGGAATAATAATGCAGCATATGATTAAATCACGACTGGTAAAATCCCAGTCAACATTGCTCAAACAACCAAAATTTTCAACACCCCACGTATACCTTTTCTATTGTTATAAATCAAATGGGTATCCTAAACCCTACTGAGTCCAGAAATCGAAACATAAAAATTAAAAAACTGATTAGGGTACCACATAAAGATGAACAAGTATTAAATAAACACCCATATAAAAACAGTCATATTCCTCCCCTCTAGGCAATAATGAATTAATAAAGAAAACCAAATAAATTATCATTATCATCAATGAAAAAGAGACAAAACAGAAACACACACGCACCTGTTTGGGTTTGGTTGAAACTGAACTACCACCCACATCTTGGAGTTTTCTCTTGGTTCTGACCCTAGTTCTGGAGGGTGGTCCCTTCTCATCCCCAGACCCAGAGGCCCGGTTCTCCATTAACCCCACTCGCATAGAGTTCTGTGGAGTAAAGGGTGTCTGTTGGTGGGCTTCCTTCCATGCATCCAGGGCAGATATTCGTGGGCTCCTCCTCCTATCTACCCACATTGACATTTGCATCTTCCTAGAAGCAAATACACACACACACATTATATATATAATCAATAAAAAACCCAAAAAGCCTATCAATCTCTTGTTTTTTTTTTTTTTTTCCTTCTTAAGAAATGAATATTACCTGGAAATTCACATAGATGAACCAACAAGAACTATCAAGGGTTTAGCTACATACATATATATATATAGCAGAAGGAAGAGAAGAGTTGAATACAGTACGAAATGTGAGTGATAAATGTTTGTACTAATATGTGCAGATACACACAGCTTTACAGGTGGGTTTCTTTCTGAATTTGGAAATGGGAAAAAAGGAATTCTCTCCAAACAAGGAAATGGAGAAACATTTAAACCACTCTAAAAATTATTATTTTTATTTGCTTCCTATTTCGATTGGGTGATCAAATTCTTCGAGAATCAGTGTAAGAATGAACTGATGATATGTATGAAACAGTGTCAAAGGGGGGCTCAAGAAGGTGAAAGTGCGGCCAAACGCTTCGTTTTGGAATTTGGAGTTGGGAGATTTGGAGAGGTAAAAAAGAATGGAAAGGAGAAAATGAACTTTCCTTTTTTGGAAATTTTGAAAGGTAAAGTAAAGAAGAATACCTTTTTTAGCTTTTCTAACGTCCAGTTTGGTTGACAGGAAAGGAAAAGGAAAAGGAAAAGGAAAAGAAAGGAAGAGAAAATAAAGGCAATGGAGGGATATGGTTTTTTGTGTTTGGTATAAAAAATTTGAAAAAAAAAAAAAAAAAAAAAGAAAAAAAGGAAATGATTTGGATGGATTATGTTAAAACTTGATGGTTGGTTTTGTCTATATTTTTATAAAAGCCAAAATATGAGGGGAAATAATAGGATTTTTATTAATATCAAATTTATCTTTATTTTTATAAAAGCTAAAATATATGAAAAAATGGTATGGTGATAAATTTATTAAAGTTGTATAATTTCCTTTCTTTTTCAAACATTATATATATATATATATATTTTTGACCAGTCAACCAAATATGATGAGTGATTCACACAGTCTCCTCATTTTTTTTTCTTTCTTTTTTTTTCTTTTTCTTTTTGTGTTTTTTTCCTAGAGGGAGACACTTTTAGTTACTAGTTACTCTACTTGTCTTATACACCAGAAAAAGGAAGAGAGTGAGTGAGTTTTATTTGGTTGTTTTAAAGGATACAAGTAAGAAAAATAAATTGTCATTTTGAGTTTTTTTTTTTGTTCATTTGAGGGAAGGGACATGGATTTCAAATATAAACTCTGATTGATTATTATTCTTATTTTGCGCGATCGGTGGGTAAGTTATAAAATGCTTCTTATTTTGTGCAATTGGTAAGTTATACTTATAAAATGCTTTTGTTTTGTAAAGGATCTTCTTACATCCACTCTGGAGATTCTATTATAAAGGGAAATATAACATTTTAAAATTCTACATTTTTTACTATTAATTCGGCCCAACTTAAAATATAAAAAACTTAAAAAGAAAAAACTATATCTTTTCTTGACACGAGAAATTATTAGATATATCATGAATCATTAACACTTGGTAAACCAATAAAATACATAATATTACATATTCTTGTGTTAAGAAAATGATCGCACAAGTGTGTATTAATATACTATAAAGTGTCTTGATCGATAGATTTTTATTGAGTTAGTCCACCAAATATCAAATAGAAATTGCACGATACCATACTAACAATATTACAATTCAGATTCGAATTTGGATTAGAATCCTTAAATTACAATTCAGATTCGAATTTGGATTAGTATCCTATTGTGAGGCTATTGGCTTTGAATAATTTTAATTAGCTGGGAATAGTCAGATTTTTGTCTTACTAATCACTTTGTAATCAATTTGATATTATATGAGTGGTGACATATCCCCCATATTTAGAGATAAAAGGGTAATTTATACAGACCTCTCCTATAGTTTGTCATAATTGTGGATAACATTTTTTTTGTTTCGGAAATTACGCGAATCTTCTCTTTTAAAAATATCTTATACGGACTTCCCTCGGAGAGTTAAATACACCAACAGGCCTGTCAAAATTACTAAAATACCCTCTCTTTGGCATCTGAAATTACTAAACTACCCATCTGAAACTCTGGGCCCTCTGCAAAGCCGACTTTATTTCTCTTTCCGATGAATCTGCCGCCGGTAACGCCAACTTTATTTCTCTTCCCGATGACAAAAAATTCACACAATTCACATACCCTTTTGGAACACAAATATAAGTAAGGTAGCCCTCAAACTCCATAGCGCGTGAAATTTTTACAGTAATGGAGTCGCAATATTTTCCAAGATTTATTTCTGCGACACATTCATTCAATTTTCATGAAGAAGAAGAAGAAGAAGCATAGCCCTAATCTCTAGGGGTTTCTGGGTTTTTGCTTCTTTTTCTTCATGACACAATCTCCTTGAAAATTTGATAGTTGATTGCCAGTAATTTCTAATCGTTGCAATCTCTAATCTCTACGAGTTTCTGGGTTTTTTATTTCATAGTATACTGCGCAATATATATATATATCACACGCACAAATTATGCTTTTTATTCAATGGATGATTATCGAAGCTTTTAAGCGACAACAATGGTGGTGAAAGGAAGGCACAATAGCCGACCACCAACCCAGACCAAGATATATATATTAATGAATTTCCACCACAGCCGACCACCAACCCAGACAAAGATCTCGCCGTCGTGAACCAACACCGTTGCAAACCCAAACTAAGATTATCATTGCCGGTAGTCGTGAACCAATATATCAACATTGTTGCTAACCCAAACCAAGATTATCGCCGGCTACCATGAACCAAACCTCAACACTGTCGCCTTAACCCCAAACCTCACAGAGTCACTGCCACCATTGCCATTAATCATGTTGCCTAGATTATCGCCGGCTGCCGTGAACCAAACCTCAACACTGTCGCCTTAACCCTAAACCTCACTGAGTTACTGCCACCATTGCCGTAAATCACGTCGCCTAGATTTAAAACCTGAATCACTTTCTTTGATTTGAGTAAGAAGAAGTTGGATTTGAAACCTGAATCACTTTCTTTCTCTTTGATAGGTAAATCCCAATCCCAATCACTCGCGTTGGTAGTCTAGTGTAACAAGGGTCATTTTGTCCCACATCGGAATCGGATGGGAAAGAGATTGGGTATAAATGGGTGGGTATGCAGCCTTACCTAATAGTTCGAGCTTTTGGGTAAATGGGCAAGCGCCCACCCGTTACAGTTGGTATCAAAGCCAAACCCAGTCCTTGATCCGGTGCCACGCCAAGCGCCCGGCCCGGAAGGCGTCCGGGTGAGTCACCCGGGTAGGCAGGGTGGCCCAACAGTAACGAGGGCGTTGCGAGTTTGGGTGGGGGAGAATGTAACAAGGGTCATTTTGTCCCACATCGGAATCGGATGGGAAAGAGATTGGATATAAATGGGTGGGTATGCAGCCTTACCTAACAGTTCGAGCTTTTGGGTAAATGGGCAAGCGCCCACCCGTTACACCTAGCCAGATACTGTGGTTCTATATGTGTATTATATATATACATATAATTTCAAGTGTGTGTGTGTATATATTACCTATAATATGTAATTAGGGACAAGGGTATTTTAGAAATTTTAATAAAAATAGTAGATGACGTCATCAATTCCGTCGTTGACCGCCGTTGACTCCAACAGAAGGGAGGTCCGTGTAGGATATTTTCAAAAGTAGGGGAGATCTGCGTAATTTTCGAAACGAGAAAGGTGCTGCCTGTAATCATGACAAATCATAAGGGCGGTTAGGTACATGGGAAAGAGTCTTATATAAATTACCCGAGATAAAATGTCTTTTGGTTTGTTCATTTATCTATTTGGATCATTCCAACAATTTGGAATCGTCTATCTAGTATCTACTAATATCAACAACAAAGAAGGTGAGAGATCAAAATCACCAAACATCAAACCTTTTCATTCTGTTATATACTCCATATGGCTTTTGGAAGGACCGATTTAAAATAAATGAATTTAGTTTAAATAATTGAGCAAATGTAGCTTAATTTATATTTATTGAATTCTCTTTAAATAATATACATGAATAGATTTGAGGAGATTATTTATGTATATTTACAAGAAGAAAGAAGAAGAAGAAGTTATGTAAAATCACTAACAAGAACAAACGGGTGAACACTTATCCATTTACTCAAAAGATTAAGTTGTTGAATAGTACTGCATACCCATTCATTTATATCCAATTATTTTTTCATTTAGATTCGAGTTGTGACTCGGGCATCTTACCTACCCGAGTTACAAACTCGGATGCTTTCAGAGCCGGACGCTAAACGTGACACTAAATTAACGATTGTGTCTTATTCTGATATCAATTGTCTACACAATTGTCTATGCACCCAAATTGAGAACCACTTGGTCCCATTCGGGAAGCCTTTCCACCCAATTATTTTCTTGAGACATATTACACTAAGATGTAACATTATTAATATACAAGAGTAATATATACAAGTGTTTCATTTTCGATATTATTGCAAGTGTGTTGCAGGGTCGATTTAAATGGACTAGGGTAACACTCCACCAAAGTGCACCAAGAGGCCAATGGGTACCAAACTTTCATCATCTTTTCCCTACTTTTTCTAGGAAAAATAGAAGAAAGGGTCATCATGATTGAAGTTGAAGTTTGGACACACGCTCTTTAATCAGTAATGTTACAGAGTTTTCTCCAAAAGAGCCCTATGTGAATATGACCCACTTCACTTGACTTGGTCGAGAGAAGAAAAAGGAATGTAAGTATCCAAACACAGTAACAATCTTTCTCAATTACCAACTACATTCATTGAATTCAATTCAACTACATCAACATTATTCCCATTCTCGATTAGTTTTTTTTGTTTAGGTAAATCCATTCTCGATTAGTTTCCTTCCATGATCTGATTTTTTTTTCTACGCGGAACCCTAATTTCGTTTTCCTTTGCTTTTCTTTGAATCTTCACCAACCATAAGCTTGGAGTCTCTTGTGTTACTGATCCGAATCTGAAGATCTGATGCTTGAAAATCGAGGGTTTCGACACTTTACGCCTAATTCAGAGCGCCGATTAAACATCACGATAAGCATTGCAAATTTTGTATAATTTATTGTACGTATTTCTTCTCTTTTCTTAGTTATTTAATTTGATTGCACATTGATTGTTTTGGAATCCAGTTTAGGTTTTTTATTCAGCTTCTGGTAACTTTGATTGTGGGTTATGTGAATTTTGCCTATGCATGTACTTCTTCTATTCTATAATCTTAGTGAACTTTTTGAACAGAGATTTATGTAAAATATATACACACATACATATATTTCTGTCAAATTTAGGATCTAAACCATTTCATCCCTATTTTTCTTTTGTCTTTTCTAACAATAGAATTTCTGTTTTGCCTTTCTACTCACATGATAAAACATTATTTCTTTTCATTCCTCATCAGTATCTTTTCCAAACAAGATGGAGGGATTACCACTGTTCATTCTTTTTTTGCCTTTACTAATCATTCAAACACTAGTCTCATGCTAATGAGCACGTCTACTGTTTTTCACCCAAAAAAAAAAAAAAAAGGCATGTATACTGTTGGTATTTTCATGTTTAGGGCCTTTGGGCTGTTTATATTTAGACTAACTGTTGGCGTAGGATCTTCAGTAGTTAAATTGTGCAGTATATTTTGATACCAAATTGCCCCATATTATAATCAACATCTTGATAGAGTTATGGGATTCAGTTTGTAAGATGAATGGAAAGCATAACATTTTATTGAAGATGGATGGTCATGATAAAAGCCTGTGAATCATGTCTGTGGATGCTGGAGATGCTATATCTCCTGTTTGTGTGCTACTGACCTACATGGTAAGATATTAGTGCCTTGTGGTCATGTCCAAGTAATAGTCAGTTATGGGAATTGCTCTGTTGATATCTTTCACACGTCCATGATGGCTACTTAGTCTAACTTACTGCATTAAAACATCACCATCTTAAACAATTACTTTTTTGTACCATAATATTGCCAACTTGGTGATTGCACATGTCCAAGTTTTACCTTGCAGCCATAAGTCCAAAGGGCCAGTGGTTGGAAGGGTTCCCCATTTCAACATCAAAAATGAAAAAGAAAAAGAGCCATATTGCTGAATCCTATTGTTAATAGTTATTTGTTGTGCAATACAAACTGGATGGGTCTAACTTCTAAGACTACTAGTGTCAATGCAATCTCTCCAATGACCAAAAAGATCCATACCTTAGAATTAAGAAATGCAAGCAAAAGCTATTGTAGAAACAGAAAGTGGTCAAAAGTGTCGACAAAATATATTATCTTTTTGCTTCAAGTGGCTACCTTTTATGAGCATTTCGTGCCATTTTCCTTTCTTTTTTCTCATTATTTTGGGGAATAAAACTAAATTTGACGTAGGTGAAAAACTTTTGTATATCATTTTATGTTGATGCAAGGCAGTGAGTAGATAAAACTGAGCTTTGAAGATCAGAACTCAGGATTCATGAAGATTGTCGAAGATGAATAAATAACTCGACATTTTAAAGCACAAGATTATTTCCGCTCTCCTGATAAGTAAAATACTAAGATAAAGAAAAGGTAAGGTCCAGTATAACTGCTGTACACACCACTTTCCAAAATTCCAAGAAAAGAGCCAATGTAAACACAGTCCAAGAAGGAAAATCTAACATTGAAAAAGCAGAGGTAGAATGTCAAGTGAGAGGTGATTGAATAAAAATATATTTTAGCTTGGTTTAAGATTCATAAACATGGAGTTTGGTTATAGGTGGTTGGCTATAAGGCACTATCATATCATTATTATAAAAAGTTAGTGTTTTTATTTTTATGTTTTATAATTGGGCAAGTAGCTACAATGTGTCAGTTCATAATTTTTTAATTATTTCCAGTTCAAAGTGATTGTAGATACACTGATGATAAAGATTGACCTTTGATCCTCTATAGCCATTTATTGGTATAGAGTGGCAGCAAAAAGAAAGACAGAATAAGAATGAATGCATTTGTGAGAAATGAGATTCTGAGAAGTATGTACATTTGATGGATAATTGGGTATGGGGAAGTGATTTAATGTAAATCAAAAGTGCTATAAGGACAGGAGGTAGGCCAATAAAAAAATGAGGAAGTAGGGAAAACAAAAATAATAGGAAACTGGGATTTGGTTTATATAGACTTCAGAGACAATCAAATCACAGGCCCAGTTTCTTTCAGTCTGGGTCAATTGTCCAAATTGACCTACTTGTGCCTTGCTTTAAATCAAGTCAATGGTTCCTACCTCAAGAAATCCGGAATATGAAATGCTTGAAAAAACTAGACCTTTCCCATAATGAGATACAGGGTTTTTTTACCTCAAGACCTTACCCAATTAACTGAACTCACACTTCTTGACCTTTCCTCAAACAAACTCACTGACTTGATACCACCTGAAATAGGAGCACTCTCCAAACTGTCATATTTAGACCTCTCCAACAACAATCTGAGCGGACCCATACCAACTGGTACCGGGAATTGGTCTAATTTGCAAGAATTTTTTTTGAACAACTAGTGTTTGAACGCCAGCATTCCACTACAAATAGCTTATCTTCATTTGCTAGCAATAATTGACCTTAGTCATAATTTGATCAGCTGAGAAATACCTGCCCATCTCAGCCACACTACCCACCTAACAGAGTTGAATCTATCTCACAATAAAATATCTGGTAGCATTCCTCATTCTCTTACATATATGAATTCAATTGAGTTGTCATGCATTGCTTTGGGGGGTTGAATCACAGTGAATTTTTCAGCTTAGGTATTATCAAGATTCATTTGTTGGCAACAAAGATTTGTGTAGTGACGACACCAAATTTTTGCCTTGCCTTTCACCTCTACTTCAGCGGATTGAAGTTGGATTTGATTGTGTAGTGACTACAAATAGCTTATCTTCATTTGCTAGCACCTTAGTCATAATTTGATCAGCTGAGAAATACCTGCCCATCTCGGCCACACTACCCACCTAACAGAGTTGAATCTATCTCACAAGAAACTATCTGGTAGTGTTCCTCATTCTCTTACATATATGAATTCAATTGAGTTGTCATGCATTGCTTTGGGGGGTCAAATCACAGTGAATTTTCAGCTTAGGTATTATCAAGATTCATTTGTTGGCAACAAAGATTTGTGTAGTGACGACACCAAATATTTGCCTTGCCTTTCACCTCTACTTCATCGGATTGAAGTTGGATTTGATTGGCAAATATTTGGTGTCGTCAGTACTCAAATCTTTGTTGCCAACAAATGAATCTTGATAATACCTGAGCTGAATATCGACTGTGATTCGACCCCCCAAAGCATTGTATGACAAGTCAATTGAATTTATATATGTAAGAGAATGAGAAACTCGCTACCAGAGAGTTTATTGTGCGAGAGATTCAACTCTGTTAAGTCAGTAGTGTGGCCGAGATGGGAAGGTATTTCTCCACTGATCAAATTATGAAAAAGGTCAATTATTGCTAGCAAATGAAGATCAGCTATTTGTAGTGGAATGCTGGCGTTCAAATTGTAGTAGTTCAAAAAAAATTCTTGCAAATTAGACCAATTCTCGATACCAGTTGATATGGGTCCGCTCAGATTGTTTTTGGAGAGGTCCCAATATGACAGTTTGGAGAGTGCTCCTATTTCAGGTGGTATCAAGTCGGTGAGTTTGTTTGAGGAATGGTCAAGAAGTGTGCGTTCGGTTAATTGGGTAAGGTCTTGAGGTAGGGAACCCTGTATCTCGTTATGGGAAGGTCTAGTATTTTCAAGCATTTCATATGATTTCTTGAGGTAAGGAACCTTTGATTTGAAGCAAGTGGGACAATTGACCCAGACTGGAAGGAACTGGGCTTGTGATTTAATTATCCTTTTGGTATTTCTTTATTATGCAATACTGTCCTGAGACGTGCTATTTTCTTTTGTACTGAATCCACCAACTGATTCACTAGCTTGTTGCTCCTTTTGCCGTTCAGACTTCAGTAGTTGATTTCATCACTACTAGTTTTTTGCATGATTTCATGTTATTTTTCTTAGTTGCTTTCTTCATGTATCATTGATTTTATTTTTTTTGCTGACCCTCAATGCAGTTCCAGATGGATGCTAATTCGGAAAGTATTTTACAAGGGATGCCCCAGTCGACCGTGCTTGGCCACACAAATGGTGCTTTAGCTATTGACCAGTCTGACCTGCCAGCAGTATGCTCTCTATGCCACAGAAGCCTTTCTCCTGATAATGAGGCTGGGGATCTTGAAGCTATCACTATATGTGGGGATTGTAAATATTTGTTTCTAGAAGATCTTGGAACGCCAATACAAGATAGGCATAGGAGGAGGACACCGAGAGTAAGAAGAACAAGGCACAGTAGTTCTGAGTCTATTGAAAATATTTTTTCACAACAATTCTCACATATGATTAGTCTGGCAAGGCAAAACCAGCACACTGTAGCTGAGCATGAGAATCAATCTTTAGATGGTGATACTGCTGCAAGGTCAATGCAGCATGTGAGTTCCCGTACTACTCCTAGTGGGTCCAGAAGATGGAGGAGGGTACTTTCTGATACTGAAAGTGACGGCTTTGATTCTCTCTATGGAGAGAATGAATCAAATGTCAGCTTCAGCGGCTACAGGCTTTTCCATGGTGAAAGTGATACCATTTCATATAGTGCTTATGGAGGAGAATCTGATGCATCTGTGGATGGACATAGTTTTCTGGATACTGAAATTTTTGCCAATCCAAATGCAGGAAGTGATTTTGATAGTGATACTGATATTGACCCAATGCGTGCGGGTCTCAACCAATGGAACTCAGATGACCAGGAAGAAGAAGAAGAAGAAGAAGAGGAAGAAGATACTGAATGGGAAGAAGCTGAGAGAAGCATGGTTGAAATTTCAAGAGTGGGAGCTCCGCATGGAAGTTTATTGAGTTCAAGGGAAAGAAATGGGCTTGAAAATTGGCGCAGACAGCTTCATTCTCCTGAATTTGAGGGTACAATTCGTTGGAGATTCAGGGAAAGGAGACAAACATATATCCCTAACATGTATGCTAACTTGGAAGAATCCGGGGTACCACCTTATGTTGGAAATTCTGGGGACTATTTAGATGCGAGAGGCTTCGAGGAACTGCTTGAACAACTTGCTGAGACTGACAGCTCAAGACGAGGAGCACCTCCGGCATCTGTGTCTTTTGTTAATAGTCTGCCTCGTGTGATCATTAACGAGGAGCATGACAAGCAGAATGGTTTGGCTTGTGCAATCTGCAAGGAATTTCTTTCTATTGGCACTGTCGTGAATCGGCTTCCTTGTTTTCACCTCTATCATCCTTCATGTATCTTGCCGTGGTTAAGTGCGAGGAACTCATGCCCCCTTTGTCGATATGAGCTCCCCACAGATGACAGAGATTATGAGGAGGGAAAGCAGAACGCCACCAATGAATCGGTGATTCATGAAATTGAGCAGCAGGGCATGAGTGACGATAGTTCCTCAGACATCATGGATGATGCCGAAGCAGAAGAAGCCTGTGAATTTAGTCATGGTAGATCAGAACAGGGTGAATTGATAAATGTGGATCATGCGAGAGAGACCTCCGGCAGAGAGAGGGCAAGAGGAAGATGGTTTTTTCTCGCCGCTGCACCGATTGTCAGTATAGTGGGAGTTGTTCTTGTGTTGTGGTTAGGCAACCCTCTAAAAGAAAGAAGAGGGTCAACAGGCGGTTCTAATTTCCCTCAACCGGGACAGCATCTAAATCGCCTACCCAGCCAAAGGGAGAATAGGTGCAGGAGGTGGTGGTCTCTTTTTTAAGCTTCTCTCTAATTATCAGATTGATATTGACATCAATGGATTACATTCTGTGTTGGTTTTCCAGACGTGACTTGTATAAATGTGATTTCATGTGTTGATTCACTCGAGGTGAACTTTACGAGTAAAATTAGAGTGACACTCATGTCCTGTTCTTGGAAGTCTTGAGCGAGAGGATTTGCATGGATTCAGAGAGTTTCTTTTTCTTTTATTTTTTCAATTTTATTTTATTGCTGTGTCATTTTTTCTACTCAACTTCCTAGTATCAGGAAGCTTAGGTGAATTGGGTTTGAGTTCATGTATAAAGCTTTGATGTTTCCAACATTTTAATTGTGTACCTGCTTTCTATTTTATGACAAGGAAAAAGCTATATCTTGAGCACACAAAGGTGAGTTCGTTCGCATCCTCTTTTGTAACAAAGAGACACACCCTTGAGCACGTGAGCTGCGCGTGGTGGGAGTATTCTCACAATAATTTTGTCTTTGTGAAAATTTGGCTCATTTATTCCTTTTGGTGCATTAACCAGCCTATGTTGATATATGTCAGTGTTATAAAAAGCTAGCAATCTCAAGCCCTTTCCCATATGACAATGGTGAAAAAGGCAAAACCAAACAACCGGGCACAAGTGGAAGATGCTTGAATTTTAGCTGGCAAATTAGGATGAAAATAAACATTGAACGAACAGAAAAAAAATTAAATAAATAAATAAATAAATCATTAAGCACATACACAGTAGTCTTGCGAACAGAACTCCTCTTCAACGATGCCTGAGCTCAAAGCAGGCAATTTGCACTTCCACACTTCTCATTTAGCTATTGTTGATTAGCATGGAAATGTATGACAAAAAGAATAAGCAGTCTGGCACCAAAATAGCATGATGCAGATTTGAAGTGTGAAGATCAATGACGATCATCCATCGATATAAATTCAGCTGCTGTTTCCAAATCCGCTGCTGTTCCCGCTGTGTTTTGAAGCATCTTTAGAAGAGTATGTTGAGAAACAAAGTGATCCATCCAGCCATAGAGAAGACTGCAAATATATGAACCCAGAACAGGACCGCAGCTGCCTCCCTCCCGCACCCTCTTAGATTGGCAACAGCACCTATGAAGAAGGAACAAGTAATCCTTTCAAATCTACCACCCAATACACAAAACCTGCTAAAACTTTGGTGCATCTATACCTTAATATTCATAGGCACTTATAAATTGAAAATTTTGTAACAATTGATAACAACGTGACATGAAGCCGGACTTAAAAATCTGTCATTTAGCTGCTTTGAGGTTTAAGCAAATGAATTATATTACTTTTAAAAAATTGAATATGAAGTTTTTTGTTTACCACAAAAAGTTCAAAAATCAATTAAGAATTGACAAATTGGTCCAATGTTTCGACATTAATATATAACCCTAATATTAAAAAGTAACAGCGATCTTCCTAATGTCTTGGGTTGTCTTTCCAACTAAAAAAAATGCATTGGGAATAAATTTTCAAAAGAGAAGAGGTGTTACCAGCAAGCACTGATGTGGGCATTGAATGCTGGAGGAGGAGCACAAATCTGAACATCTTATCACCCGGGGGAAGGAAGCCGAGCTTATCAGCCAACGTGACAATAACAACTCCAGCTGGAGGAACCAAAACCAAACGCCCAAAAACAATTGCAGCAGTTGTCTTTACACCAAGTTTTGAACTTCCTGGTCCTGTAAATAACCAACAAAATAACCATCTGACTTTTGGTTAATATATGCAGTTCAAGAGAAAGTAGATTGCACACTAAGAAGAGGCGCACTGAGATCCCTGTATTTCTGCCACAGATGATTTTACGAGAAAATTTAAAGGATCAAGTACCATACAAATTGTTCAGAGACACCAAACACCGACAACAAAATGTAGACATGACAAATTTACAGAGTCAACTTACCATCCACGAGGTTGCCTCCTAATGCCAACAAAATGCATGGAATCATTGCCTCCCTGATGGTCACACAAATAGTTAGATGGAAACCATAAGTTTTGAGATCGATAGTTGCATAATATATTTAATACTGAAGCCTATTCAGCTAAACATAGACCGGATTAAATAACTGCTATGCAATATAGAGGCACCATCCAGACACAACTCCCCCTCTTTGATATGTGAATAATGGTTAGCAATATAGAGGCACCTTCCAGACACAACTCCCCCTCTTTGATATGTGAATGTTAGCATGTGGAACACCAGTTGAAAATGCTGATCCAACCATATGAGGTAAAAGCACTAGAGATTAGCTCTCCATTGAACATGATGCAGAATTATAACATTTTCTGTTATAATGTTAAATCATCAAATATCAACAAAATTTTAGAAAATTCTGGATTTTGTTCTTGATTTCCAGTGGGATAATTATGGATGCTGAAAACAAGATCAGATTCTTCATAAAAGGGTACTCTTCTCACATGCTCATATAACTAGGCATATGCAAGTCAAATTAAGTCAGAATCTAACTAGTGGAATCACATAATTTTGTTGATCTGTGGGCCACACTAAGAATTAACAATTTCTATTCAGGTTGTGCTAATTATTTCCGAGAGCAGTATTTTGAAACCCAGCATATTCATTAATCAATCCTACCAGGCAATGGGTTCATATAGATAACCCAGCATGTTCTATGTTCCTGAAACCTGGAAACCTGCTGAGGATGCATTTCTATTGGTCTTCTCACTGAGTCCCTCTAGGTTATAAGACACTGTCCTGAATGGCCAATCTGCTGTGCTTCTAGCAGTATCCTAAATGACAACTCAGACACACTGAACAAAACTCGCATTCATTTTAGGTGTTAAAATTCAACATACCAGTGAGCAAATTACTCCTTCCTTGTTACTAAAATGTGACTTTCAACTTATTCAAATGACACTGAAGAGCTAAAGAAAATTTACTTCCTTTTTTTATATATTTTTATTCTATAAAAGCATATTAGGAGTTCCCATGTGCCATTTGAAACGCATTGTATGCGCACGAAAGAACTGAAATTATTATAATAAGAAAATAAAAAAAGGCCAATGTTGCGGCATGTTCGCTTGTTTTGGATTATGAAGTACTTCCATTCATTATTTTTTATTTACACGATAGATTCTCACTTCATGCAGCAACTGAGACCAAGCGCACAAATACACACGAATACTCGTGCATGCATGAATATAGATTAGTAGGCAATGATTTCAAGATAAAAGGACCCACCAAATAGATTAATAATAATAAAATAATAAAAAGGAGATGGAATTGGGCATACCCAAGAATCAAGCAGCTATCAGTGAAGAAGAAAAGTGGAGCGTCAGTCGTAAGGACCAGCCGCTTCAAGAATGGCACAATTCCTATCACCATGGCTAGGATCTGCAGTAATCACACATACCAACTTAATTCGGGGTGCGAGTGAACAACATTCTCTGCATCATAACAGTCAGTTGAACTGGTTTGTATTAAAAGTGACTGTGAACCAACTCAACAATGATTGGTTGAGTTGGGGAATTTTTGGAGGACATACTAATGAAAACACTCATGCCTTTCAGGAAACTCTAGTGATTGCAGGCAGAGAAAGTTAAAGCAGGATTTAAGGCTTGAAAAAACCGTAGTCGTGGTGGAATGCATTCTCATGCTGTTTGACCACCTGTGGAACACAATGTTCCATTTAAAAGTAGGTTTGGAAAAATATTTGCAGTTTAACATACTGCAAAATGCATACTCTGTTGTCTTTCATCCCACTCCTAAGTTGGTAATAGTATGTTGCAAACTTGCAACCAAAAACCAAAATGTGGCATTTTCAATGCATACTCTGTTGCCTTTCATCCCACTTCTAAGTTGGTAATAATATGTTGCAAACATAAAACAAAACTTTTCAACGCATCAAAATCTTTTGAATGAAATGTTTACTAGCAAGCTGTGGAGTTTAACAAGAAGAAGAAGAAAAATCACATGAAACAAGAACTTTTTGGACCAATGGTTTAATAGGAAGTGTAAAGGGAAAGCCCTTAAAAAATGAAGAGAAAAAAGATCAAATAATTCAACAAATGTCAAGATACTGTACTTACAGAAGCAACAATAGGGGGTTGCAGGATTTGCTTGAGCTTCAACTTCTCATACACAAAGTTTAAGAATTCTTTAAACTGCATAAAAGTGCATGAAATTTAAGGATATCACGATCCATTCTACTGATAAAATAAGCAGCAAGAAAGCAAAACAAGTATTAACAAACCTAAAATCAAATCATGGAAGCACCCTTCCCAACTCAATAATATGGAAAAGCTAAACCAAAGCATGGAGTTTCAAAACTGTGTTGCAAATTTAATGAAATCCCTCATGGAGAAAAATAAATAAATAAATAAAAGTAATAATAATAAATAAATAAATAAAATGTTTTTTAGAGGACCAAATTGGGATGATTGTGTCAATGGCATCTTATCCTCACAAATATGACAGTGATAAATTTTCCAAGTATGGTGCATCATCATCTGAATTAAAGCAACTATAATCCAGCAGATGGATTCATCTGAATCTTGCCAGCAGATGGATTCAATGATTCATCTGAGTAGAAGATGAAATTACATAATTCATATCAGCAGAGCAGAGGACATTTGAGTCACATTTTTGTCCAAAGTTTTCATTTTTGTCTTTTGGTTTATACTCAAAGCAACTATAACAATTTTAAAATATATATATATTTTTTCTTCAGTAATGATTTACAGTTGGAAATATCACTTCCCTAGTGACTCACTTTCCTTAATGTTAAAAGGCCAGACATATTATTTATCTCTCTGAAGGACTATGATCCACATCCATAATCTTGGAAGCGCTGAACATATTCCACTGTGACATGACATATGGAATGCAATAAAGTTGGTTCTCACCTTCCCTCTTTGTGGAAGATCTGAATTTTCTGGTACAACCTCAAGCAATGGAACTTGCTCGGGGGAGCCTTCCTCTGGAGCATTCTTGATGGGAAGATTTCTTTCCTCAATGTCAAAGCTACCTTCGGGAGGAGGTGCAAGCATTTGAAATACATATGTGTATAAGATAATAGCACCAACCTAGATATAAAGATCCAGATTTATTGAATTTTAGCACTTAAGATAAAGAAACTAAATAAAGAATTAACTTACATATATACAATTTAAATGGAGTAATGAATGAGTAAGAATTACTTGAAACAACAAATGTATGCATACACCAAAGACAAGAAATGAGAATTTAGATTTTCAGTGAAAATGTGCGGACGAATTTCCTTTGTCATTTCATGCACCTTTTAAATATCAAAGTAAGCACCATGACCCGTTAGTTTTCTATGTTGGAGACATTAACTTCCTTAATTGCGGAAAGCCACAAGAATGATTTCCTTTTCTGCGGATGGTCATCAAATATACATGTTCAAATGATAGACATGGATAGCAAAAAAAGTGGTCTTCTATTTGTTTCTCAGAAACTGAACTAGCTATCAACCATGTCAAATATAGATACTTTAGAATGCATGGATCCAAGTCCAAGGTTGCTTAAGAATAGAAGTTGATTAAGAATGGAAGTAGAAGAAAATAAATATGAAAAACAAGTTATCATAAACATAGATAACCACTTAAAAGTTCGAGGGTGTGTGTAAAAATCATTAAAAGTCTAGTGTGACACAATCAACAGCTTCAATGACTTTGAATGAACAACAGTTAGTGAGTAAGATTTGCATATGGCCTACCCATTGACCGAATGAGATGTACGCATTCCCATCGTGAGCACATTTGGCAGAGTCACCAAAAGGGTTTGATTTATCTCGACATAAAGCTGCAATTAGGACAAGTGGCACATTCCCAATATTTCCTGCACATAATGTAAATCAGAGATTAATTTTTTCTTTATTTAGGCTCAGTTATTCATAATGAAGAAGAAATAGAAGATGATGTTAACCATAGAATCAAGGCAGGATAAATTAAATGGAGGAGAGCATCCAATATAGTGTATGATTGGAAAATCATAATTGAACTAGGGCAGGGAACTTCAATCCATTGATGGATTAGTTTAAGACCACTAAAGAAATCAGATGCATTGAACTTGGTTCCAGTCGAGAGAAATTTACGTAAAGTCGTTTTCCAAATCAAATTCAAAATTTATTAACCCTAAACCATTTCCAGCCTTCAAGGCTATATTTAAGACCCTATGCTTTCAGAAAACATATGCAAGCACAGGCCAATCATGTATAGCATATATTATCATGTGTTTGTGAGGCAAAAAGGGCATCCTAACAATCCAATTGCTAGACATTTGTTTCGTTCATCACTCATATAGATGGTGAGCGTCACGAGTGTTGAACTAACAATTCCTAGAGCTTGGATTTCAACACCACGTCAAGTTCCACACAGCAAACCAAAAATTGAATGTTAATAGATATTAGAGATCAAAACACGCGTTGAAGAGCATATTGCAATAGGAGCGGATTTGTTGACTAGCAGCAGTGGAGTTTGAGGAAAATGTTTGGCGTGAATCTGGCTCAAAGTTAACAAGGGGATTCCTGGGTTAAAGTCTGGATAACCTAGTTATAAACCTTTCTTCTATTAGTGGATTTGATCCATCCGGAATAAGTTCCATGGTTTTTCCCGTTGAGGTTTTCCACATAAAAACAGTATGTCTATGTCAGGTTGCTTGGTTATTTATCTTTGCTGTCTATATTTTGAATAATTTATATTGCTGCATTAAATTTTTAAGTACTAGAATTTAAAAGTCAGTTATTGTTAGTAAAAAATTAAACAATATCTAATCACCGTCCTCTAGGTCTAATTGCACATAAGGATCCATAGTCTTCAGGGGTAATTGGTAGTCTAACAATATGCTCCATATTGATAGTGGAAGTGGAAACTAGAAACTCATATAAGAAGAAAGTCAAACCACTAGAGACACAAAACATGTATAGATTTCATAAATTGTACATCATGATGCATGTGAAAAATAAATTGTCCTAAAATTCAAAGAGTGCAACTTTGACATATATCTCCAGAATGACGGTGCTTACCGACTCCAATCTGTATTACAGTTAACTTGAAGAATGGATATGGCGGACGGACTATGGATGCAACAAGCAAACCTATGATCGAGCCTGATATGGTAGTCAAGATAACATTAAAAGGAATAAACCACCTGAAAAAGAAGAAAATGCTACTTAAATCTGTCAAGTATTGCTATGCCAATTAAACAAGAAACAAGAATATCTAGTTCTTACCACTCGAGCATTTTCTGCAAAGTGATGGCTTGTCCAAGTTGAGAGAATATCAAACACGGAAGCAAAAGTGAAAACACCAACTGCATAGCATAGTTTGACCACGAAGTTAGTATACAAAAAAACAATATCATAGATATCATCAAAAAAGGTTAAAACATATACAAATAAATTTACCAAATCTCATCATCCACTGACTTTAAGTAACTTAAGCATAAAGTGACATTCAGGACAGTTCATAGTAATGAAATTGTAGTAGCTGATGGCATTTAAATTCTGTTTCTCTCGTCACCTCTACACATTGATCTTTTGATTAGCTTATTTTGTGATTGACAGATAAATATTCTTTTAACAACCCGTAATCAGATATAACTTGTATAAACAAAATTTACAATGGTGAACTTCAACTAGAACCGGACTAGGAACTTGCCGGCTTACCCCATTTAAAAGCTTCCTTCCATTCCCGCGTAAGATGTTAATGCGTTTGGTTGCCATAAGAAATCCCAAGAAGCATATTGTAAAAACTTTGGCTATAGGTAAGACAGCAATCTTGATAGTCCCGATCACAGACTGTCCTCCAACTTGAGTTTCCATTAGAACTTGTGGCAGAAACCTGTCCATGATTTCTGTGTGAACCTCAAAGCTTCAGTAAAGAAGAAATCCCGTATACATACACAAATCCAGCTCAAAAATGGAGAAACTTGTTTCCTTCCTCGCGAAGGACACCACCTCTCTTACAAACAAGAACAGATCTAAGAACACAACCGAATGAAGAATGATTAACAGGAACAAATCCGATCCAATTACTATGAATTCCGGATGCTGATTTACTGCAAACAAAGAAATTCATAAACAGATTCCCAATCCAAGAAACCTGAAAATCAGCATTTTAACCAAAGAATCTTTTTCTATATTCTGATAAAATTTCCAGTTTTCGATCAAAGATCAATCCTCTTTCTCTGCAAAATTCAAACATAAGAAAAACAGAAGTGTCAAAAGAGGGAACTACAAAACTAAGTAAATACTAAATGGGGAAGAATGCATATGTAAAAACAGACAGACACACATATAAGAATAATTACAGAATATATATCCAATATATGAATATTTTCCGGAGAATCCAGACGAAATTCTGACCAATGTTGAAAAGCATTAAATAATTCAATAAAATCTCACTAGAATATTAATATTAGTTAAAAGAATATTTGAACAGACAAAATAAACTTCACCGACTCAGCATAAAACATGAGTCATTTAACTTAAAATCTACTTGAGAAGAAAAAATAAATAAAAGGAGCTGCAAAAATACGCAAAGAACATTACTTTAAGGACCATTGGATGAATAGCATCAAAGTCAGGTCACCAAACTATTCAACAACGAAAACATCACCGAAATATACCACCCAAAAAACAAACAAACAAAAAATGTAATTACGCATATATATATAGATACACACACTCACGCATATGAAATTCAAATACCCTAGGAGATTAAAAAATAAAAATAAAAATAAAAAGGCTTACAGAGGGTAGAAAGTGAATCAAAAGGAATTTCATACCAACCAATCAAAGCGTCTTCGCTTCCCCTTCCGTTGTTAGCTTCCAATATTAATGTCACTACTTACATTATACATATGTATGTAGTATATATATATATATATACACGCACTTTGAAAAGAAATATTATATAATTCAACTACTTTTTAGTTAGCACACACACAAATATATGTACCATATGTATTTGTTACCAGCACCCTATTCAAAACAAGCACTTCTCAACCGTGTTTTTTCCGTACCAACCGAAATTTTCTCGCATATTTTGGACCGTTCACAAGGATTCTCTAACCTCAACTCGCCACGTGCCATCTTACTATCTGTTTTTTTTTTTTTTTTTTTTGGCCTTTTCCGGTAAAAATAACATTATTACCATATTCACGCTGTTAAGCGATTAGGAAATTTAGGATAAAGAAATTTGAAATTCAACCTCTCACTGGTTTTTTTTTTTTTTTTCCTCATTTTAATTGAATTAAGCAAACACGTAATTTAATATTACATGACTCAAATTTTCATTACACCGTTGGCGTTAATGTTCATTAACTTCATTGAACATCCTACCTTGAAATATATTACCTAAATTAAAATTTCAATAGTACGGAAATAAGTAAAAAAATGTCATTTAAGAAGCTAAAAGATGAGTAATTTATTATTATTAGTGTCATTTAAAATATATATATATATATATAAGAATTTGAAGAGCTATTGGGAATGTCAATTTTTTTTTCACTCATCATACTTTTAGGGTTGTGCAAATTTGATAGGTAAGGTTCCGGAAAGGGAATCAAAACCCTTCCATTTTCTAGAATTGGTCCTAATTAGTTAAAAAGTAATATTATAAACAATTATTCTATGTTTGTTCTGATTTTTAGATTGATAAACATAAAGTTGAGAAAAATAAGTATAAATAATTGATAAATATTAGTTTATTTATAAATTTTAATTAATGGGAAGGTGTAGTGGCAAATTGAGGATTTATTATAGCACATAGAATAGAATAGAATAGAGTAATAGACCCTTCCAATTTTAATTTAATGCAACCCTTACTTTCCCTTCAAAACCTACCCATACTTTGAAGGGTTGGTAATTGATCTCGTGGAGTCAGACCATCAACTTTTTGTGGTCTCTACAAACTCCCTAACTAATTGTCAACCATGCAAAGTTAGAAACAACTACTTTGTGTGGTGGATTGTCACACAAATTTCTCAAATCATGCCACCCAAAATTTGTCTAGCACCTTCGGATAAAAATAAAATAAATAAATAAATAATTGGTAAAGCCAAATTACATTAATAGTTATGTGACTAAAATATTTACTAATTAATAATATTGATTAAAATATATTTAACTTACAACTTTATTTTACTTATAAAATATTACTTATAACAACATACTTTCTGTCTTAAAATAATTGTATGCTTTAAGAATTATTAGAGAGTGGATTAAAAACATAGTACTCCGTATTTAATATTATATTATTAACTAATATTATAATGTGGGATAATAAAGTGGGGTAGGCTTACGCATAAAGACCCAAAAACAAAGGTGGGCTAAGCTACAAATAATTTTAAAATGAAACAGGCAAAAAGTAATTGGGTTGAGTTGTATCTTGGCCACATTGGAAAGTTAAAAAAACAGATGTTATGGGCGGGCTGGGAGGAGGGTATTGTACATTTGTACGTACCATTCTGGATGCAGGAAGCTTCGGAGGGAGATGATATTCAGTGGGCATGCATGTCAATGCATTATTTTATAAAATTGGTTTCACTTATTTTTTTTAAATGCTCCCAACGATAATTATTAAATGATCTTCAACCATTAATATTTAGTGGACTAATTAAATTTAAATTCTTAAATTTAAAGTGTATTAATATAGGGAAATGATTCTTACACCGAATAGTTGCAGTTGCACCGAATAGTTGCAGTGAATTATTAGACTTACTTTTTTAATTGGCTAATTATGCAACAAATAAAGAAATGAAGCACTCCACTTAGTTATATTTGATATAAATAGTTAATTAAAAATTATTCGGTTAGGCAATTAACTGCAAATGTTCGGTGTGAGTATTACTACTCATTAATATATTATAAAAAAATCTCAACATTAACTTTTATTGTATTAGTCCACCAAGTGCCAAATGTACCAAGACTATTTGATAATTTTTCCTCAATTAATTTTTATATTGATTTTTATTGGTCAAATGTACCAATGACATGGCATCCCCTTACAGGTTAGAGCTAAAATCAAACGAGCATCTCCAGCAATCTGTTAAAATATCTTTTTTGTGTAAAATATACACAATCACGTATGATGTGTAATTTTTTTTAATCTTCAGTCTATTAAAATACACTGCCATGTCACCAATATATAAAATTGTTATGTATTTTACACAATCTTTTTATACAGTCACATCAGCATATTTCTTTTCTCCTCCATATTCTAATTCAATTAACAAATCAACCTATATTAAGTGAGTTTGTAAAAATTATGTGGGTCTAAACATGATACTGGTTGATTGTCATTGGAGGATATATTTTTACACAATAAGTGTAAAACAACCGTTGATCGGATAAAGAGGAATAAGGCTCCACGCATAATTTAAAGAGTAAGATTATAATGACAAAATATTTAATGTTTTATTTTTCGTTGGAACATTAATAACATTATACACTAAATCTAAAATCAATAGTGTTAACTCCCCTACGGAGTGATCTATACTAGACTTCAAAGGAAACTCGAATAAGTTTAACCGTCTTGTCTATGGTAAAGAATGTCATCTTTCGGTAGTGTAAAGCAATCACAGACCTTGTCTTTATCTTCATAACTATCTCAAGTCTTGTCCTTAGCCACATTAATATCATCGGACGATAAGAATAGAAATCATGCAATAATGTTCAAACATATTTTGTAAATGAATGTTGGACCAAATAATCCGTAGATGTATCCCCGAGACAAGGACGGATTTAGAAATTTATATAAGGGGGGCAAATTTATATAGAGGGGGCAATTTCAATATTTTATAAGTATAAATACAAAAATGTATAAATTTAGGGGTGTAAAATGCAATAATAAAAATTTTCAATGGTGGTGGATGCCCCCACTGAGCCTTTCACAAATCCGTGCCTGCCCAAGAGCGAATTTCAAAGCATTTTAAATTTATGTTGTACTCTTGTTTGTGGGGGATATTTCACTACTAAGAAAACTTCTTCCAAAGTTATTTAATGCCGATTCTCGATTGAAATTTAAGTTTTAGTTTGTTTAAATTCCAACTTAATTTCAAATAATTAATTTGACTTCATAAAAATTTGGCCACACCATAACGGAGTTTTTAATATATAAAGATTGAATCTTTGAAAAAAAAAAGAGAGAGTTTTGAAAGAATGATTCATATCCTAAAAGAATAAGCTTACAAAATCCTACAAGGACTCGTTCTATTGCGAGTGGCTAGACGTCGACCGATTTGGCTCTGCACAGTAAAAACCTATATTGTCGGGATACCGGTCGATGCATAGGTTGCCACACATCGATGGGTTTGTGTAAAAATAGCCTTAAAAATAAATAATTTAATTTTTTTTTGTATAAATCTATTATAACATATAAAATTTATACAAATATATATATATATATATATAATGATTGAAGATACTCTGAGACCATAAGGTAGGGTACTTAAAATTTGACCTTTTACCGCTCATATAATTTCGCCACATTTTAGAACTAAAGACTTGGGCTTTTTTTATTTGTATGGATTTCGAAAATACTAGCCGTGAATGGAGCATGGGCTTTTCCGGAGGACCTGCTTAATCGGTTCCCTGATCTTGCGCTTATTGAGCCGTCAAACAACTCAATGGATTCATCGGTCTGGACTCCATCTCCCACAGGCGCATTCTCACTGGGCCATACCATTTGTAGGATCAATTCTTACCACCTCCCAAGGCACTGGTATCACCTTATTTGGAACCCACTCTCTGTACCGAGATGCATATTTACATTGCGGTTGGCTGTCCAAGGCAGGCTCTCCACCATGGATTGAAGCCGAATGAGGTCGGTTAACGGATCGAGGGTCTGTCACTTTTGTGAATTGGTTAACGAGACTCATGATCATCTCTTTTTTGCTTGCAATTTCATAAGGCCAATATGGGTTCATCTTTAATCCATAACCAGATTCCACACCCCTCCCTCTACTTGGGCTGATTTTGTTACCCGGGTTTCTCATCAATGGGCAAGACGAGATCTGAGGAACTCAGTGAGGAAACTTGTGCTCTCCACTATTGTCAATAAGATCTGGTTGGAGCGAAACAGTAGGGCATTCACGAATCAAAAAACCTCACAGATGGTAATTTTAAGGCAAATCACCGACATGGTTAGGCAGAAATTACTTTCACAAAACCTAAAGGACTCACCTTTTGCAAGGAGGCTGACGTTGGATTGGGAGCTTCTGGCTTCGATATTGAGGCCGCCGGCGAAACCTCCGGACTAATTAGCATAGGGTGATGGCTTCAGCATCATTTCGCCCTTCGTTCGCTTTGCCCTAGACTAAACATTGTCTTTGTATTTGTTGGGCTTGGCCCAGTGTTCTAATTTCATTGTTTGCTTTTGTTTGCTGGGCTTGGTCCATCATTCGTGGGCTAGCCTGTACTTTTGGAAAGCCTTGTAAAGTTCTTTCATCAATACAATAGTTACTTACCTTCCAAAAAAATAATAAAAATAAAAATAAAAATTTACAAATTGTCCACGATAGAGATGTTAAAAAATCTTGACCGCAGCCACCACCGTTCAACTAGCACGTCACTGTCATTGGATCATGTAGTAGGACCTAATGGGCTCATGTGATCCAACGACTAAATTGTGATAGCAGCCAGTGCTGCTATACTCATTACACTTCTATATTCATAATACACCCATCAATCTTTTGCTTAATGAAACATTAGATTAACCCACCTAATAGATAGGTTTTTACTTTCAAAATTTTCACTCTTTAATTGATTTTTAAAATTGTGATTGCAAACCTTATTGGTCATTTTAAAGACGGGCACCATCGCAGCCCTTTTCAACCATACAAAATAATAGCAAATTTATTCAATTTGTTTTTTTAATATATAACAAGCAAATAAAAAGAAAAAAAGAGGGAGGAAAAAAAAAAGGGTAGGTAAGGAAGTAGCACAGCCAGGCCTGTACACACCAGGGTTTAGTGGGGGTTTACGAACCAACCACACGGTCCACGCCCACTGACCCACCACACGCACAAACTCAAAAAAACCGCTGATTTAAATGAATTTTTTTCTATTGCATATAGCAACTTACCTGATCTGAGAGACTGGAGAGAGAAATTATTATTAGTACGAGTATTTTTCTTTCTATTCTAGAAAAGTCATCTAATTGAATTGTCCTCTTCGCTAATTCGCTATTTCCAATATCTTCGTCACTGCTTCATCTTCTTCTTCTTAGATATATTACACGCACAGAGAGAGATTTTAGATGAGTGGGAGATAATGATGGGAAGAGAAGAGCAAATGGGTATTGATGAGTTTGAGGAGCGAGTGCTTGAAACGATGAAAGGGTGTCAACAGAGGAAGGAGCCTCCACTGGTATGGGCAATGGAAGTCGTCAAATGCGTGGCCAATGCCGGTTTAGGGTTGCCCAGTGCCGATTTAGGAGAGGTTTTGGTGTCCCAACTTTGCTTTTCCAACAACGATGACGACGACAACAACATTCCCTCACTCTGGAAGTTCCTCGAACAAGCCCTTTCTTCGGGTCTCCTCTCCGCTCTCCATGTCCTCGCCCTTCTCACCTCTAGGTCTCTCTCTACATAAATAAATATAGCATCTTTCATTTACTGAGTTTTAACCCATTTATGGATTGAAGTAATAATAGTTGTTGATAATTTGTGAGTTCAATACAATTGTTTTTTACCTTCATACTGGTCTGTGAAAAATTAGAAATGGTGGTCCGTGTGAGACTAATTTTTGGCTATTGGATTACCCAATCGGATAAGTATGCATGCCACCCATAAATTTGTGATTTATGAATGCCAATTGATTGATTTTATTTTGCATGTGAGCAGAATTGAAAACTACATATATTAGTTGCTATGGGGTCTGTTTATGCTTTCAAGAGACTAAAACACAGTGAAGTTGTTTGAAAATAATATTTAACTGTTACATTGTTTATGATTAACCAACAAGGTATTATTCTTAGAAACATAGAAACAGGAAAAGTAATCTTGTTTGATGTCAACTGTATGTGTGTAACCCTTTAGAGTTTAAGACTAAATTATGACCAGTTCTTAGCTTCAGGTGCCAAATTCTCAGAAGACTGGTCAGGATGGATCTTGGACTTGGTGTGGAATTGTTTGCACTTGGAGAAATCTAACCATTATTTGTTATTTGAGGGTCATTAGTTAGTGGTTAGAGAGGTTAGAAGCCAAAGACAGTCTTCAATCCCTTAATGGGATATGAACTCAAATGACAAAGTTGTAGCATTAAAAGTGCTTGCATGACTAGGGATAGCAACGGGGCAGGTGTGCGGCGAGCCGCCCATCCACTGATCTCGAGCCCCTTCGGGCTTCCATTCCTGCCTAAGAAGGCGGTCCACATTGCCACGGCTGTGGAACACCCCATCATTGACCCAATTAGGATACCTCAATCCATCCATGAGCCTTTTATTTTAGGTTAGTGGAGAAATCATAATACATGATTTAAGATATAAAAGAACACGTTTTAAATGTACAATTTATATGGATTATATAATTTAGTAATCATGTTAAAGTATAAGGGGTATTATTATAAATTCAACACATAAACAGGGATGGGCAGGACAGGGGATCCTTTCCTGACACTTGTGGAGGTCTTCCTTTCTCATCCCAACCTGCCCCTGCCTCGCATGAAATACCTCAATCCTGTTCCATGAATGGTAGGACACGAGAATCCAGGTTGGGTTGCCTTTCCTAGGTATAACATTTAAAATAAAAGAAGAGGGGGTGGGGGTTTAAGGGTTCATTTCTCATTATTCTTATTCAAGAGGAAGGAAAAAAAAAAAAAAGAAAAAGAAAAAGAAAAAAGAGTGGACTTGAGCCCAAGAATGTGGAATATAGCCAATTACTGGCAAATAGTTGGCATTTAAAAAAATTTGCCCTTATATTTTGCAATCAAAATTATGCAACTGAGTAGTAACCTTCCACAAATCCCATTGACTATGAAAGGGTATATGCAAAATGGGTGGAAGGCCCATTTTGATAGTTGGAATTACACTCCTTTTGTAAGTATTTGGCGATGTGAGAGTTTGCAATGCGATTTACACCATAGGAGGAAAAATCTTTTTGAAATTTTTTTAAGAAAGGAATCATTATTCTTCAGTATGAAAGGCAGTTTTTGCAGGAGTTTTTCACCTGTATGTTTTTTTGTTGGTTCATTATCCCTCTATTACAGAACCTACCACTTGTATGAGAGGGAAAATTAGAATTTAGAATTTCCTCTTCTCTGGCTGAGGGATCCTTTTGAGAGATTGAGTGCCTCATTTTAAATCTGTCAGACACCAAAAGTTAAGGAATGAATATAGGAATGTATATTAATCTCTTAAACCTTTCTTCACGTGTGATTGACAAATAGACTGAAAAATAGACAGATTAATAGAATAAAGTGCAAATATGAATACTGAATGGGTGGCTTGAGAGAGTTGAACCCGTAATCTCCCATATTAAAAGCTTTCATACCATGTTAGACAATCAGTTACCCCAAAAGCTTAATCCATTAAGGAATGAGTCCGATAATATATTTCAAGCTCCAACAAACTTATGGCACATGCTGCCATTAGTTATATTGATTCAAGGGATTTCTTTTTCATGAGAATTTTCAGCTTTGAATTAAAGAACTTCCTTTTTCTTCAAAGGCAATCCCCCTTAAATTGTGGAATTGTCTACAAAATGGGTAGATGTACCTTGCACATTGGATTATGGTTGCTTCAAAGTTGTGTTGATTGGGACTTGAAAAACCTTCCTATTGATTAAGAATACCTCTCAAACTTCCAAGAACCTTGTTGGCCAAGAGTCGGTCTAGGATGGTAATGTCTTTGTGGGCTCTTTGGGCCTTAGGTATGTGTACGTCTTATGGGGCACTGCATTGGTCATGTAAGTGCATGTTTTGGAGTTCCAGGGACCAGTGTAATTTGTCTTCAGCAATAACATATGCATCGGTTTGGTTGCCAGACCATCTATAGCCTACATTAGGCTTAAGGCGGCAAGTTGTATGCTACTGGTAGCTAGTTAATAGTTAGGTGATCTCATAGGGATGCCCAAGCGAGAAATAATGAATGCCCAGGCACTTTACACTTCTTCAACACCATGTGTAGAAATTTAATACGGTGCATGTGGGACGGGGGAACTGCATGTGCCCAAATACCCGATTTCTTCTAGGATTTGCTTACATTGGTGTCTAAGTTGAACTAAAGTTGGAGATGCAGTTTCAAACTGAGATTAGTGAACATCGTTCCATGTACCTTGTTCTTCATCCCATTTATCATGTGAATATGTAAACAGATATATTTCGATTTTTGCCATCTCTTTAATCATCTAGGTAAGGCACAGGTGCCTTGATGTCTGATAAATATTCCTATAATAGTGAGTGGAGAAGTTTTCGTACATTTGAGGAATTTTATGAACTAATTTTGGTACTTGGCGTGCCTTCTCTCCATTCCATCTTGTAAGTCATGGCAGGCATGTTTAGGATATCTGCATAACCACGTCATTCTCTTTGCATTTTGTCATTTTGCTTCTCCAAGAAGAAGCATGTACCAGGGAGCTTTTTATTCGTTCTTGCCCTTGTTTTTCAGATCAAACAACACTCCTGTCTACCCTCTAAGATTTCATAACTATGGGAGATAAAAAAAATTATTGATTTAGAGAATTATTCAATTTTTTGTTAGTTTAGGTAAGTTGAAAAAGAAGGCCTTATATATCATTACGGAGGTATGTTTATATCTTACACATAAAGTACATATATTGCATAAAAGAATTCTTAAATCTAAATATCATGTTAACTAGAGAAGAAAATCTCTTGCACTTGTTCATGTCTTAATATTCCATCTTACCTTATCAACCGAACAAGTACATCGTAGTTTGCAAAACATCTTCGAACTTCATGTCTTCATGATAATGGTATGTTGTAGCTATAGATTGCATTTAAATAACCATATCATAATATTTTTCTTGGGTGGATGAATAATCTAGTGATCTTCAGATTGGAATCTCATTTGACATAGCAAAGCTATCTGGCTTATCAGAATTTCTTAAATGATAGTCTAATATGAACTTTTTTTCTTTTTTTTTTAAATTTTTTTAATGCATGTAAATTCACAATCAACTCAACAAAAATATGTATCCTCACCAAAAGCACTTAAATAAAGGAGTAACACATTCAATTCTTAGGAACTCTCGCTTAAATTATCAATTTGCACTCAGTCATTATCTTAGAGAAAGGTATGGACGCATAAGAAAAGTCTTCCCATTAGTTTTAGGGTCAATTCCATACTTTATTTAACTTGTAAAATCAAATTTAGAACCTGTAGATATCTATATCTAGAACATGTTATAGATGCAAATATATATACACAGACACACATTTAGATCAATTTTCAAGTAATAGAACTATTAACATAGAACTTATTGGTTCCAACTTATTAATTACTAGAGAAAATTACTTATCAAAAAAAAAAATTACTAGAGAAAATTAACTTATTATATATTTATTTTTGGAGTATTGGCAATAAGAGAATAATAGGGATGCTCAAACTCCCTTAGTAAAAAAGGAGCTCTGCCATGTAAAATCTTTATAATTTTCTGATATTGCAAGGTTCTTGATTCCCTTAGCCTTATATATTTGTTACAGGGTTGTTCCTCATCGACTCTCTCAACCAGAGGCCTATAGACTCTATTTGGAACTTATAAGAAGATATGCATTTTCATTTGATTCACTTGGGGCAGATGCTTGCCGAGAGAAGTAAGTGTCTTTATCCCACTGCCACCAAAATTCAAATTCTCTCTCTTTCTCACATCCACGAACATTGATACAATCATATGCATGCATATATCAGTTCGTAAGGTAGTTATGACTCAAATTAGTTGTTAAAAAAAAATTATTTCTTTACTAAGTTTGTCCTTGTAATTTCTCCCCCTTTTTGTTAATATTTTGTTCAACAGTTCAAGTATTGATTTGATAACCTTTGTACTTCTTCGCTTCTATATCCATGTATTATTATTATTATTCTTATTATTTAAATCTACCAAAATGATTTTTCTGTCATTAAAGACATGTAGCACTAAATTTATGAGTGGTTGAAACACAAGATATGAACAATAGGGCAAGTGGCAACAACCAGGATCTCCCATATGATTGCTCTTGTTGAGTGGATGATTTCATCTTAAATCATTCCAATTATATTATTTTACTCATGACATCCATCGACGTTACTGACTGAAGGTAATAACTGAATGAGGATGGTACATTTGGTTTTGACAAAGAGAATAGGGGATAATGGAGAGAGAGGCAGGTGGACTTACACAAAGGGAGAGAGAAGACTTGTGACCAGTCCATCAAAAATGAGCCAGTGGTCAGTCTTGTACTGTTAATCATGTTCAGTTTAGAGACTCCCAACTACCTTCAACGGTGTTTCCAAAATATGGTGCATCTTAGCTCATCATATAGGACATTATGTATACCTTTTTATAACAACTTCTTTGGCGTTTAGCTGGGTGCTCAACTACTCTTTAATTATGTAAGGGAAGGTGGGGGCACATGCATGCATATTTTTCTGACTTAGTGTTAAGATGGCTAACTGAAAAAGAAGAAAGAATAATAATAGAAGGAAAATGGGAACGTGATGAACGTCACATGGCTCTTTTTCTTTTAGGTCATTGTAGCGTCGGAAGAAACCCATTAGTCCAATTTGTCAATGGTTCTTGCAATTGCATCACATAGGAAGAATGCAAGACTGCAGGTTGAAACTTTGCTTACAGTACATTGTAAAAACGGGTAGTATTAAATTACAAGGAAAAAATAAAATTCTAATTATGTACAATATTATATTATAATTTTTTGGGCTAATTTCATAAAACCCCACTATTTTTAAATTTTGATCATAAACCCCCAACCTATTTCAAAAATTCCCTACACTTTAAAAAGTGATCATATTGCCCCAATATCTGTGTCTGTTAACCGGTTGTGAAATGACAAATTTGACCTTGCTATTATTTAATGTTAAATTAAAAATTGAAAATAATTTTTCTAAAATTACAAAACTACCCTCTTCTTCTTCACCCCTCTCTAAAACTCTCTCTCTGAAACTCTTTGATAGCGTGATAAAAACAGAGGAGGAGTTGGTGGTGGTGGATTCATTTTTGACCAACTGGTGATGGTTGTGAGGCAGAGGAGGCAAGCCCTGAATCGAAGTGGGACAATAAACCCTAGAAATCGAACCCTGTTTATCCTCCACCGTGTGATGATTGACCGTCGCTTGAACGAATGGCTCAGATTCTAGGGCTTTGTGTTGTTATTGAGGAGGAGGAGAAACAAGACCTCTTCGGAAACGGGTGTGACCGGTTTTGGTATATTCAAGTAAGGAAATGAACGTCTCGAACTTGTTGACGGCAACCACCTTGTAATCGGCGTCGCCGCCATTCATGGCCTCTACAGCCTACACAGTGACCTTGGTCGCCATGCTCACACCAACGATCTTCAAAGACTCAACCCTAATTTCTCACCAATCGCAACACCTAACCCAAATCAATCAACATGGTCACTCCTCTTAACACCCTCAAACCATCCTCCATCTCCACCATCAGATTCATATGTAGCTAGCTACGGCGGCAGAATCCTCTCCCGCTACTCCAACGACAAGCTCCGCTACCACGGCGCCACACCTGCTCCTCTCTATCGAACTCTACATCTCCTTCGCCTATCAGTCCCTCTTCTAATTCATATATATATATATATATATATATATATATATATATATATATTGATGGTATGTATATATTGATAGTATGTATATATGTTTACTTTGTTAGAAGATATATGTGTGGATATGTAGCTTGATATTTGTGATGTTACAGAACCATCACTTGGTCTGGTGATGGGCCTGTTTTAGAGAGAGAGAGAAAGGGGTGAGAATTTTAGAGAGAGAGAGAGGGGAGATGAAGAAGACAAGGATATTTTTGTAATTTTACAAAAAATAATTTTCAGTTTTAAATTTAACATTAAATAGTAAGATCAAATTTGTCATTTCACAGCCCGATTAACGGGTCGGGTATGGATATTGGGGTAATGTAATAACTTTTTAAAGTGTAGGGGGTTTATGATCAAAATTTGAAAGTAGCGGGGTTTTATGAAATTAGCCCTAATTTTTTTTAATAATATAATATCTAAAGAAATGGAGAACCCCAAGGGGTTGGCTTAAGTGGATAAGAACTTGGCCCTGGTGCCTCGTGAAGCATTAGGTCCAAGGTTCGAATCCTCTTGAGTGCAAACAATTCCGTGTGTGTGTGTGTGTGTGTGTTGGGGGGGGGGGGGGGGGGGGGGATTTTTTGGTGATGCTGTTAAGTTTGGGGTTTAATCAGGTTCCCGTCAGAGAGGTCTACCAGAGGAAAAAGGTCCATAGACATGGATCAGTTCTCCGACTTCATTGATGAGCACTTTCTCATTGATCTACCAATGGAAGGTGCAACCTATACCTGGTCTAATGGTAGAGACCCAGTTACTCTCTCAAGATTGGACATATTTTTGATATCCAGGGAGTGGGAAGAAAAATTCCCAGACGTTGTTCAGGCGGTCTTAGAAAGGGTTACCTCTGATCATGTTCATTTAGTTTTGGATTGTGGGGGTTTGTGTTCTAGGAAAACCTCATTCCGTTTCGAGAATATGTGGTTGAGAGCGGAGGACTTCCAAGGGACTATTCGTTCTTGGTGGGAGGGAGTGATCGTACAGGTGCACCTAGCTTCATATTAACACAGAAATTAAGAGCTCTCAAACTCGCTCTTAAGCAGTGGAATAAGGATGTTTTTGGGAATCTTGAATGGAGGAAGAATAGAGTCTTTGCTGATTTTTTTGAGATTGATAGGCTTGAGGAGGCGGGTGGGAATGTGGAGTCTCTTTCTACTAGGAGAGTTTCCTGTCAGGTAATTCTTGCTGAGATTGCTTGCATGGAGGAAATTTCGTGGCGACAAAAATCCCAGGCTCTTTGGTTGAAAGAGGGTGATCGTAATATAAATTTTTTTCACAGACTTGCTAATGCTCACAGAAGGAGTAATCATATAGGTCGTCTACGGGTTGAAGGCGTGGAGTTGTGGAGGGAGGAAGAGGTGCGTAGTGGGATCGTTTCTTTTTATCAGAAGCTCTACACAGAACCTTTAGGTTAGAGACCTAAGCTTGATGGTCTTCCTTTTGAGGCCATTTCTGTGTTGGAGAGAGATGGATTAGAGCTTCCTTTTACTGAAGAAGAAGTTTTTAAGCTTTATCCAGTTGTAATGGGGATAAAGCCCTGGGGCCAGACGGGTTCACTATGCGCTTTTTGATGGAAAGCTGGGTGGTTGTGAGAAATGAAGTTATAAGTGCCTTTCAGGAGTTTCATTCTACTGGTGTTTTTGAAAAATCACTCAATGCATCATTTATTGCCCTTATCGCTAAGAAGGGAAACGCTTCAGATATTAAGGACTTCCGTCCTATTAGCTTAGTGAGTTGTATTTACAAACTCATAGCTAAGGTGTTGGCTCATAGAATGAGAGAAGTTATGGATGGAATTATTTCAGATTCCCATAATGCCTTTATTGGAGGACGGCAAATTCTTGATTCAGTTCGTATTGCTGGTGAATGTGTGGATTCAAGGTTGCGTAGTGGTGTTCCTGGAGTTCTTTGCAAACTTGATATTGAGAAAGCTTATGATCATGTCAACTGGAATTTCCTTCTCTACTTGCTTAAAAAGAATGGGGTTTGGAAGTAAATGGAGGACATGGATTGAGACCTGTCTTTCGTCTGTCAAGTTCTCAGTTCTTGTGAATGGTTCTCCAGTTGGCTTTTTCGGGTGTTCTCGAGGTTTAAGACAAGGTGACCCGTTGTCATCTTTTCTTTTTCTAATTGTTATAGAGGGCTTAAGCAGACTCATGCGCCGGGCAGAGAATCTTAGTCTTATCAAGGGATTCCGGGTGGGAAGAGATATTGACAATCAGGTGGAGATTTCACATCTATTCTTTGCTGATGACACTCTAGTTTTCTGTGATGCTGATGTGTCTCAACTTAGATATTTGAGGTGCATTCTAGCTTGCTTTCAGGCAGTTTCCGGGTTAAAGGTGAATGTGGCCAAGAGTGTGCTTGTCCCGGTCGAGAATGTTGAGGACATCTCTTTTTTAGCTGTAGTTCTTGGGTGCAGGGTGAATTCCTTTCCCATCCCTTATTTGGGTTTGCCCCTAGGGGTTTCTTCCAGGTTAGTGGGGAGTTGGGATTCTGTGCTTGATAGGTATGTAAAGAGGTTGGCTGGTTGGAAGAAGCAATATTTATCTAAGGGGGGGAAAGTAACTCTCATTAAGAGCACTTTATCAAGTCTTCCCACTTATTTTCTTTCTTTGTTCCAAATTCCATGCTCTGTTGCTGATAGAATTGAACAAATTCAAAGGAATTTCCTTTGGGGAGGAAGGGGAGATGAGTTCAAGTATCATCTTGTTAGATGGGAGCAAGTTTGCAAGCCTATAAAGTTGGGGGGTCTTGGTATTAGACGATTGATCCCTTTTAATAAAGCTCTTCTGGGTAAGTGGTTGTGGAGATACGGGAAGGAAAGACATCGTCCTTGGCGTAGATTAGTGTCTTGCAGGTATGGGGAAGATGCTGGCGGATGGACCACACGTCCGGTTTCTATTGCGGGAGGAGTTGGGGCTTGGAAATCCATTCGGCAAGGATGGGATGCCTTTTCCTCTCATATCAGATTCAGAGTTCGAGATGGTAGTTGCGTTCGCTTTTGGGATGATCTTTGGTGTGGGAACCAGCCTTTATGTCGTACATTTCCCAGGTTATATAGTATTGCAGTTGATAAACATGCCATAGTAGCTAACTGTTATCAGCTTGATAATAGTGGGATTACGTGGAATGTTCATTTTCGGCGTTCATTTCAGGATTGGGAGTTGGAAGAGTTAAGCATTTTCTTGGATCAATTGTATCGGCAAGAAGGAATTGGCAGGGGTTTTGACAATTTGATTTGGATTCCCTCCTCTCAGGGGTGTTTTGCAGTAAGGTACCTGTTTTTATGTCTGTCTAATTTTGCATCCTATGATTTTCCATGGAAGACTATTTGGTGCTCCATGGTCCCTACTAGGGTGGCATTCTTTGTATGGACTGCTGTTTGGGGAAAGATTCTGACGATCGATAATCTGAGGAAAAGGGAAAATTTTCTTGTTAATTGGTGCTATTTATGTAAGCAGGATGGGGAGTCAGTCGATCATCTCCTATTGCTCTGTAGCGCACGATTGTTGGAATCTCATTCTTGGCCTATTTGGCATGTGTTGGGTAATGCCACGCTCTACTAGGGAGCTAATTCATATTTGGAGAGGTTGCCGTGTGAGTAGGAGTGTTCGTGCTTATTGGAGATCTGTACCACATTGTATTTGGTGGTGTATCTGGAAGGAGCGAAATAGTAGAATGTTTGAAGGGAAGGAGTCGTCTACAGCGACACTGAAACTTTTTATTATTCGCTCTCTTTTTTGTTATGTGAACAGAAGTTCGTGTTCCTCTTCTGTTGATTTAATCTCTTTTTGGGATTCTTTGGGGCCTTAAACCCCAGTTCCTTTGTCCACGGGACGCGTTCCCCTATTGAACGCCTTTTTTAATTTATTATTACTTATCAAAGGAACTGGGGTTACCCTAGACTTGGTTTCACGTCATTGTCGGAGCCAGAATTTCAGTTAAGGATGGGCAAGAGTGGATTGATAAATGATATGTCGACTTCCACTTGTCACCCTAACCATAGAAGTTTGCGTGGATGAGTTTATCATTACTAGACTGAAGGACTTGAAAGAGTATTTACAGGTTATAAAATTTTCTCTTGTCAAGTTAGCCAAGATTATCAAACCTGGACTACCATTCAAATTCATCATCAATGATACACTGGATCAATATTATAGTGGAACTAATTTAATAGATCCATTGTCCAAAGAAGCAGTTTGATAAGCTTTCCGACAATTAATTTATAACAAGCGTATGAGAATCAAATGTTTAAATTTTATTCAGTCAAGCTAATATTTAGAAGATTCAATCTCTTAAATGTGATTTATTATGGTAGTACTGCAGCCTTCCAGTTCATCTCGTACTACTATGAATAACATTTACGAAATTGAAATTTATCTAATTAAGGGAGGGAAAATTGATTTCCTTCAACCTTCTTTCCATCCACTACGCAGTAAAGTCTTGCAACGCTTAATACTATCTTACCATATAATTTCGGTTTAGGTGTTTGTATCTATGATTTGAAGGAAGAAAATATTTTTTATTTTTTAATTTGACAGATGGTTGGAAGAAGAATATATTACAATTCGGTTATAGTTACGATTTAGGTGTTTGTACTCTTGTTTTTGCGGGCAGAAATGATTGTTTAAATTCCGCTGAGGCTACCTTTAAATTCATTTGGTGAATAACCACTTGCGGTCTTTAATGCTCAAGAAAAGATATAATTTCTAATTCTTGTATTTTTTTGGTGAGTAAATTTCCCCTGCCGCAACCTCCTGATTCTTTCTTTTAAACGGCACTGTATTTTGCAGTGACTCCATTCCTAAGGGTAATTTTTGTTCTTTCAAATGCTCTGGGAGATGAATTTCTATTTTCCTCTTACATGAACTTCTATCGGACTTAAAATGCTTTGAGTTGAGGATCCACTTTCTGTTTTAAGTTTGAATTTGAAAGTGGGTCCTCAACTCTCTTGCTCTGCCCTCTCTCAGGCACATGTAACCATTTCTTGGAAACAAATTAGTTATCGTCATTTAACTTTTTAGTTTTTGACTTGCTGGTATGGTAGTCTCCCATTCTGATTTCTCTTGGTTCACTGTAGCTATTGTGACAGTAATGCAAATTCTTGCTAAAAGAATGTTGATATTTGGAAACACAGTTTTTGGTATCACGTGCAGCAGTATGCGATTCGACCAATCAAATCTGTTCAATTCATGCTTTTCTATTTTGCAGGATAATAAAGTCTGTTGATGTTTGCCTTCAGCTTTCCCAGAGATATGGGGTTCAGGATCTGGAACCTGGACGCACACTGGTATTGCTCTTTTTCAATATTGTCATTGGCTTAATTGACAGCACATTTGAAGATTGGGGATTGCAAATGACATCTGTTGACGGAGCAAGTGAAGCAATTAGAAGTGGAGCTAGCCAGAATATGGATGTGGATTTTAAAGGAAATAAAATCTATAAAAAAAATGAACATCGTGAACAGATAAGAAGAACAAATTCTTTTCTGGCCCTGGAGGTGCTGGGAAAACTAACAGAAAATAGAAAGGCTATGGTTCTACTCCGCCTTGTTCACTTGAGTATGTACGTTCTTCACTGCTGTATTCAGTTTTTGTCAATTTTTTTGGCCCTCTGTACACATCTGTTATTTCCGGAATTGAATTATACATTTCTTTAGTAATCAACCGAATTCTGTATAGCCCCCTTTACCAACTTCTCGGCTTGCATTGTTCCATTACTGCAACATTTTTTGTCCAACTTCGTTACTCTTCACATGTTCCTAGCATTGCATTTTGCTGAGTTTCGTGGCCTTTTTATTATACTATCATGTAGCATTTAGAAAATCCTCTTAACTTTGGAGGTCCCAGTCTTTGCCATTGATTTATCCTAAAAGGAGTCGGAAATCTAGATCCGTTATTGGTGTCAATGAGCTAACATCAGTCTCTTATGATTTTTTGGTAGCTAAAAATTATGGTTCCCTTAGCTCAAACTGCATCCCTTATTATTTGATGTTTTTGGCTTCTCTTTCTCATAAGATCATTTTTTGAATCAGATCTCTAGTCTTGTCAAGTCCATAAACAGATTCTCCTTGTTTAATAATGATCTACACCAAGTTTTTGAAACTTGAATATGTACTTTTAGGCTTTAGGCTTGCAAAAATCGCCTAAATAACTCTCTTTTGTAAATTCAGGAGTCATAAGCCACATGATCATTTTTTTTTTTCATTTGTATTTGTTTGCATATGATTGATAAAATAAGAGATTTCCCTTGGTCGCAGTAAGCCCATTCATGATGAAGTTGGTCATGCTTCTTGGATACCTTTTTTTTTTTTTTCTCGGAAGCTTTTATTAAAGGAAATGAAAATAAAATGGGTAGATGCATTCAGTTGAGAATTGGCAGCATCTCTCTCTCTCTCTTGTTGGTCGATTGGTGGCAATTACACCTTTTATATATGACTAGGCTCACTTTCTGAGCTTTTTAACCTCAACTCTCAACATAGCAGACATGATATCATGCTTTCTTTTGTCTGATCAAGAGGGACATGTTGAACAGGATCTCAGTCCAAGGACTGTAGTGAGAGATCTGAAGTCTTTGATAACATCAGATAATGTATTTACTGAAATTTGAAATGGGATAGTAGCATAATTGAACAGAGTTTTTGGAAGTTACTATTCATTTTGTGTTGTTCAAATATTTGAGATTATCTGCAATTGTTATATTTCTGAACAAGTTATATGTATATTTTTTATAAGAATATTTCTCAATAAGTAATATAAACACAAGTTGTAAAGAGATGCTAAAAACATTGCAGCCAGTAACAAGAAGTTGCTATCATCTGGGGTGTTCTCTAAATTGAAAAGTCGTTTCTATATTACTCGTATTCTATGTGATATATATATATATATGAATGAATGTGTAATCTAGTTTGGAGTAGTTTGGGATACTTTAAACTTTCTATTAACAACCATCTACTCTAAAAGCTTAAGCTGTTAGAGTGGGTATAACTTCAATATGTATATCCTCTAACGCACCCCCTTAGGTGTGGCCTTCTTTTGTTCCAACACGTGTTTTTCAATTTTAATTATCAGGGTGACGGTGAGGTTTTAATTCGAGACCATTGACTCTTATACTATTAACAACTAACTACTCTAAAAGCTTAATCTATTAGAGAAGGTATAAATTCAATATTTATATCCTCCTAACACTTTCTAAATCAACAATTTTTGTAGTACTGCCGTCGATGTGGCATAGTGGTACCCTGTTGTGGCAAATTACTTGGTTAAGTTCCCCCTGGGTGTCAGGTCAAGTCCTCTTGGCAGTGTTATGGCATGGGCGTGCTAAGCTTTATGATGTGTGTAATTTGTTGGCTTAAAGTTATAACTTTGACTAGTTAATATATATCACATTTTCTTTTCACTTTCCTTCTTATTGTTTTTTTTTTTTTTTTTTGGGTTTGTGGCATGGGGTTGAATAGGCCTGAATTGTTCAAAGACCTCCTGCGAAGGATGCATATTCTTGAAGCTCATAAGTTGGCATCACCAAATTTGAAGTCTGCAAACCAATTTTTGGTAAAATTGTCTGCAAATATCCAAAGAGCTCTGGATTTTGAATGTCAGTTGAACAAGCACCAGCTCACTGGGATGCTTATTGATATTGGATCGTGTAAGCCATCACCTTGCTGTGATTCTGGATCTGGCCGGTTTGCTTGCTGGGTTCCTTTTGACATTTATATGGAGAATGCGATGGATGGGAAACAACTTCCTGTCACATCAGCCATTGATATACTCACAGGTGAATCTTGTTAAAATTTCTGCCTGGGATTTCTTCTTACTTGATCGTCATAGGTCATTATAATTTTTCTCTATTTAATAGCTAAACGGCTCTGGTAGCCACTAATTTTCACGATCTTAGTGCAGAAAATATCAAAACACTTCAAGTATTTAACAAGGCAAGCTGGCAAGAAACCTTCCTGGCACTCTGGCTTTCAGCACTTCGGCTTGTGCAACGAGTTGAGATTAACCCTCACAAATATATATATATATATATACATACACTTTTTTATATATATATTTCCTATTACAACTAAAATCTAGCTGATATCCATTTTTTTCCATGCTTTATTGCAGGAACGTGACCCCCTGGAAGGGCCTATTCCACATCTTGAGGCCCGCCTTAGTGTCCTTCTGTCTATTGTCCCACTTGCGATTGCTCGTGTTTTGGAGGATGATGCCACACTTAGTTCTTCACTTTCAGGAGGTGTGGAATCTAGAAATGTGGAAACCGGGTACAAACATAGAACGTGTGGCCAAGACCATGCTTCAAGAAAACAGGGGCTGATCTCCTCTCTTCAGGTCCTTGGACACTATTCTGCCCTACTATGCCCCCCTGCATCAGCTGCTAGTGCAGCTAATATTGCAGCTGCTAAAGCAGCTAGCTTCATCTCTAGTTCCAATAATGTAAAGGATGGAACAAGTGAAGGGATTCATAGTGACACTTCCATAAAAGAAGGTAAAACATTCTAGGAGTGTATAGTTCAATACATAATCTCACCACTTGCTATGACTTGGTACTAATACTAAATACAAATATTATATTGATTCATTTCTTTAGTTTATTCTCAACCCTTTTTTCCTCATTGCTGCTTCCTGTAATGTGTTGTATTACATTGTTTCCAGGTGGTGACATGAGGCACCTCATAGTGGAAGCTTGCATTGCGAGAAAGTTAATTGATGCCTCAGCATATTTTTGGTCTGGTTACGTGTCTGCATCAGTAATTTCACCTTCAGATTCTTCACCTCTTCAAAGATCCCCTTGGTCAAAATTTATGGAAGGAGCTCCATTAAGCAGTGCCTTAATAGATGCCCTTATAACAACTCCTGCTTCAAGGTATTTAGGGAGGAATATATAGTGTTACTTTGTTTCTGCCATATCTGTTCTTTCTAAAATTTGATGTATCTACTGCTCTCCTTTTCAAGTTTTGTAGAGATTCAAAAGTTATATTGTATTGCATTAAATGGGTTGGAGGAGGAGAAGTCAGCAGCTGCAAAGATTCTGTGTGGTGCATCGCTCAGTTGTGGATGGAATATTCAGGTAGCTTATTAATTTACTGAATATGTTAAGCGTGGACTGTTTCTAATACCCTGTGTGCCCACAATTGGCCTAAAGTTGCTTTATTGTATAAGTTATTTATATTCATTTATGTTTGTTGATGTATTCAAATGTTACTGATTACAACTAGAAGGGCCAGGCTCTTCAGATGTAAAGCACTCATGGATGTGCTTGAGGTTTGCAAAAGCTCTTGAAATTGTGCATTAGCCTTTCGGCTCCTTGCTAGGATTATTATAAAGAATCTAACAGTTATCTTGTTTGTCCTAGGCCTACAGTGCTGGCACCAGAGCAATAATAAGCAAGAGCCAGTTTTCTTTTTTTTAGGAGATGTTACATTTAGCCATTGCCATAATTTATTAAAAACTCATATAGAAGTGTTCTAGAACAGTTAAGTATCCTAGTACTCTGAAACTATAATCAATTAGCTTCACCCCCTGTTTTGCATAGGAGTTTTGTATAGCATCCCTTTTGAGAATGGTTTGGCTGTGGCAAATATAATTTCAAGTTTCTGATTTAACATCGCTTTAGAGATCACAAAATATTTATTTTGTTCGCAAATTTTGGAGTTGGAAGTCACCCGTATTCTTAATTTTTGTTTTGTCAAATTGGCTTCTTTTACAGGAACACGTGGTGCACTTCGTAGTCAAGCTTCTCTCTCCTTCTGTACCACCCAATTTTACCGGAGAAAGGAGTCATCTGATTGATTACATGTCCATGCTGCATGCTATCCTTTTTGGTGCTTCCTCTATTGATACTGTTCATATTCTTTCTTTGCATGGTGTGGTAAGTGAATTATACTTCTGGAATTATTCTATTAAAGTGTAGTTCTTGCTCATTATCATTTTTACTCTTGCTGATAGAGAGTTAATTTGCACCAATTTGCAGTTTTATCCTTGTCCACAAGCATGCATTTGTTGGCCATTTCATTCGCGGTGAGAGGAGTGCTACCTATAGGAAAAGTAAAGTCTGAAACTCCAAGGGTTAATATTGACATTGAAAAATTTTTTATCCAAAAAAAAAAAAAAAAAAAAGTAAAAAGAAAAGGATTGAAATTGAAGAATCAGTAATTTATATTTATTCTGGAGGGCTAAGTGTGTTCCGAGGCTCAATCCAAACACTTGCCATCTATGTCAATTATCCACATATATTTCTTGCCGAACTCCAAGTCGGTTTCCAATTGGCTTGTCTAATAAATGGTCAATAAATGATTTTTGTCCATCCAATCTAATACTAGACCAATCTAACTTCTATGGCCTCTAGATCACTTACAATCTTGTAGTGATCATGAAATATCGAAGAATCATGTTGATGTGATCTCGGCTCAATCTTCAATCGTCCGTCATTTTCAGTGCTGAATCATCCGATGAAGTTGCATATGCAAATACTTCATTACATACTCCTAAGTTATCTTTCCTACAGGTGCCTGAAGTTGCAGCTTCTTTACTGCCGCTCTGTGAGGCTTTTGGGTCACTTGTACCAACATCAAAGCACAAAGCAAGCACAAGTGATGAGTCCTCGATTTACATGGTCTTTTCTGCTGCATTTCTCTTTCTTCTTCGCTTGTGGAAATTCTGTAGGCCTTCTCTTGAGCAGTGTATAACAGGACGAGGGGGAGCAATTGGAGCTGGGCTTTCTCTGGAGTATCTTCTCTTATTGCACAATAGACGCATTCAAACACATAATTCTGCTGTCCTGGATGAAATGAGTAGTAGTTCAAACCTGAATGGATTTACTTCAAATGAGCCCATATATATTGATTATTTTCCAAAATTTAGGGCTTGGTATTGTCTAAACAAATCCTGTATAGCCTCAACAATTTCTGGCCTTAGTAGTGGAAATCCAGTTCATCAGGTTGCTAATAAGATCTTAAATATGATTTACTGGAAAATGACCAACAGTGGGACCATGTCTGGCAACTCTTCAACACCATCAAGCAGCAGCACAAGCAGTTCCCCGGCAAATGCTGGAGAAGATGATTACCGGAGACCTTTGCTCCCCGCATGGGAGGTATTGGAAGCTATCCCTTTTGTTCTTGAGGCTATTTTAACAGCTTGTGCTCACGGAAGGCTTTCTTCACGGGATTTGACAACAGGTTGAATAAAGGCTTACTTTTTGTAGTTTATATGTATTCCCTATTCATTTCTAATCTCTTGTTTAGTTTACTCTCGTCTGGTTAGTGGGTACTTATATAGCTCCTTAATCTGGTTTCCTAGCCTGTTATCAACAGCACAACTGACATTATTACCGAATTTTGGAAGTAAATTTAGTTAGGAGTTTCTTTGTGATTTACTTTCCATTAATAGTATATCTCTGATGAGCCGTCAAATACCTTTCAGGTCTGAGGGACCTAGTCGACTTTCTGCCTGCTTCTCTTGCAACTATAATTAGTTACTTCTCCGCTGAAGTTACTCGTGGTATATGGAAACCAGTGTCAATGAATGGAACAGACTGGCCTAGTCCAGCAGCAAACCTTGTATCAGTTGAGTCTGAAATAAAAGAAATACTAGCTGCTGCAGGTGTCAATATTCCAAGCTGTTCATCTGGTAGGTGAAACAAGTCCTTCATTTGTAATTCTTATTATATTGCATTATGTTTCAATTATTTGTTTTTGTTATTTTTCTAACTCTTCAGCTTGTGTTATTATGTAAGTCGGTGTCTGCTGAATTATCTCCTTAACTAGAGAACAATTATAGATGTCCGGAATAGTTGGGAAAAGGCGTTGTTGTGTTGAGTTGAACTAGAGATCATTTTAGTTCATAAATGATAATATCACAAACTTTGACATGAGAGGTGCATCAGGTGTGAAAACAGTTGTTTTAAAGCCAATTATTTACATCTAGTTGGTTCCTTGATACCCATAGGTGATGTCATTTTCATTCTTTGGATTATCCTTAGTTGGTGGAACTTTAATAAACACCTATTTTACTAATAAAACAATCTTGCGGTCAGGACAATTGGAGGAATATTAACAAATCCTTGGCACTTGAAACATCAACAAGGTGAACTGGAAGTGTCAGTATGGCTAGGATTAACCTTGAGTGGTGGTTCTATCTTGATTGCTTTCTGAAAGGTAATATTGTAAGTTTAATATGGCTATAATAGGACAATATTACCAATTTTTGGCCAAAGCCCACCAAGGTAGCAAGCAAAAATATTGCTCCTTCGGTTCTAATAGGACACAACGCATCCTAAGATGTTCAACTTATTCTGTATTCTCCTCCACTGATAGCTCCCGATGAAATGTGAAACTTAAGAGAGATGTCTAGTCAAGAATGCTCCTGTAGGAAGCAGGAACTTTCTCTTTGGTTCTTTCTTCATTTTACCTCATCTCATGATTATACTATTTCCATCAAATGCTTGTTATTTCTCGGGATGCTTCCAAATAGAAGTCTGTTTCTTCAATTTAATGGCTACTAGCCTCGCCTTTCAGTGATTCGACTTCCTGTACTCAACATCCAGTATTCTAGGATCAAGCCAATCAATAAATTTATCCGTCTGGATTCTTCCTTCAAATTCTGGAATGTCAACCTTAATGTTGCTGCCTCATTGGAAAGCTTTGTTCCTTTGGGCACGGTGGTATTAGGGAGAATCCTCTCACTAAGTGCTCGACTAGGAGCATCATGAAAGGGGTTGACTTCCTAATCCTATAATTAACCATGCTCCATATCATGACAAGAACCATCGTGTTCCAAAGGTTCATAGCGCTCAAAGACACTACTTGAATTGTACATGTCTCAAGAATTTTTGTAACAGGAGTACAGGATTCATGCCTGACACTTAAAATGTGATTATCGTATCCCAATTGTATATCTAATTTTTTATTGCAAAATTTGACCCCATTTAGATAGTTGATCCAAGTCAATGATGTTACAGACACTTAAAATAAGGAAAAACGAAAATAGTGGTAAATTTTAAAAAATAAGGAAACAAGAGAATACTAGTACCATAAATTAATAATTATGTAGATGTATATAATCTTCCACTTTGTTTAATTATCAATGTAGAAGTATTGATGATAAACTGAAGTATAGATAATAAACCGTACTAATGTGTTACATAATATACACTCGCACATATAGAGAACTATGCATTTGTCTGTGCGCAACCTTTTAAAGATTTGCCATGTCAGCATATTTGTTTCTTGTCGTGTCAATATCATGGCATGTGAGTGTCCCGTTATTCATGTATGTGCCATATTATTGCAAACATGTTGCTTTATGAATTCCTTTTGTTCATTTTTCCTTAACTGTATATTTATGATCATCATTTCATATAATCCTTCTGAAATTTTATTTTAAAATATTAGTAGAAACAGTTTAGGTCAATGATGACTACTGTAAAACCCTCATTATTTTCTATAATTGCTATTGCAAAAATTAGTAAAACTGTTTATGATGGTGACATCTGTTCTCTGGCTTGAGATATTTTTCCATCTTTAGAATTGAAAATTTTAAATTACATCTTACATTATGATTGCTGAAGCCTTCCATTTTAATGCTTTTTTTTTTATTATTATTATTTTTTATTTTTGAAGGAGTTTCACCAGCAATGCTTCCACTACCAATGGCAGCTCTTGTCAGTTTAACCATTACTTTCAAACTCGATAAGAGTTTGGAGTACATCCATGCTGTTGCTGGACCTGCATTGGAAAACTGTGCATCAGGTTGCCCTTGGCCAAGCATGCCGATAGTTGGCTCTCTGTGGGCCCAAAAATGCCGCCGCTGGCACGACTTCATTGTTGTTTCATGTTGTCGCTCCATTTTCAGACAAAACAAGGAAGCTGTTGCTCAGCTTCTGAGGAGCTGCTTCATCTCATTTCTTGGCTCTCTCAATCTTTCAAACCCTCCATCGACCAGTCAAAGTGGGGTGACTGGTCTCTTGGGCAGCTTTGTATCAGCTCGTGTTGTTTACCCTCGCGTAGCACCTGGATTTCTGTACCTTAGGTCCTGTCGCACGATACACAATGTCCAATGCGTGAATGATGTGATTGTGGAATTTGTAGCCAAGTCTACCCGGGAATTAGCAGCCAGATGGGCAAGTGCAGACTCCCCCCGCTTGAAGTCTACCCAAGCATCTCTTGCTGTTGCTGTTGCCAGGGCAAAAGAGGCAGCCACACTTGGTGCAAGTCTCTTATGTGTAACAGGGGGACTCCAGCTGGTCCGAGAACTGTATCAGGACACTATTCCAACCTGGTTGCTCTCTGCGAGGGAAGAGAAACCGGGTGAGGTGAGTGCCGTCTCCCGGATACTGGAGGGATATTCAATGGCTTACTTGGTGCTTCTGTCAGGAGCTTTAGTGTGGGGTGTTGGTACCAAACAACCATTCTGGGCATTCTCAAGGAGGTCGCATGTTGTAAGCGTCCACATGGATTTTGTAGCTGGGGTTTTGGATGGTAACATTTCACTCAACTGTGATCCCGCCACTTGGAAAGCTTATGTCTCTTGTTTAGTGGGTTTAATAGTGAGTTTTGCTCCGACGTGGATTCAGGAATTGAAACAGGAGACACTGAGGAAACTGGTGAATGGTTTGAGAGGATGGCACGAGTGTGAGTTGGCTCTTTCCCTCCTTGAAAGAGGTGGGGCTGCAGCTATGGGATCTGTGGCTGAACTGAACAATTTAATTTAAAATCAATTCTGAATGACTAATACAGGGTCTTGCCACCAGGTGATCTGTGCATGCATTTGTGTGCTTTGGCTGTCGCATCTAGTGGCTGCACCTTGTTCCTGGAACTAGTGAATTGTCCTGGTATAATCTGGTCTATGGCAGTTGTATCTAGTGTTCGATCTTCTCTACGATCATACATCCTAATGATATGTATGATAAATCCATGCTGAAGGAAAACAGAGAATCTTCTACTGAACAAGATAAACAGTATATGCCAACCATTAACTGCTCAGAATACCCCAGACGATTTGGTTTAGTAGAATGCTAGGGTTTTAGTATAAATAGGAGCTTCAGATTTTAGTGAGGGGGCTTTCTTTCATCGTTTGCACTCACCCCATGCCGCTGTAGTGTTGCTTAGCAACATTGGTAAATAGTTTTCATTTTTCTGGTAATCGATGGGATAGTTTTCATTTTTTAATCATGTCCTTTTCATTTAAAATTAGAGTTAAGATGTAAATCTTGTTGAAGTTATAAAGAACTCTTAGCATTTAAGTTACAGAGTAAATTAGAATTTTTTATTGAACTGGATTATGAGCGATGTTAATGGCAGTTTTGCTATCACAGCAAGCTTTATCGGATCCATAGAACTAAAGTGCAGATTATTTTTACTCACAGTGCAAGTGTATATATATACTTGTAAAGCCAATGCACATCAATACTGATTGAATTGCTCATTCAGTGAACTCAAATTATAGCAAAAACAAACAAACAAAAACAGAAAACGATTCAAACTACTATATGAAGGTATCACTCTTAGAACTGTTGGGACATGGGAGTTAGTTTCACAAAGTGTTTTGATACAAGAGCTGGTGTGAGGAGGTATCATACAAACAAATTATTATGACGCTGATTAATTTAGCTCTCGTAAAATTCTTTGTCAAGAATTCTGGAAATTTACAAGAGACTATTTTTTGATATTAACCTTCTTCTAATTCAGTTTGTGAAAAAGTGTCATCCAAACCAAAATTTGAAAACATAAATCGTTGCCATTTTGTTATAAGCGTAATTCAAGAAGTAACAGTAAGAGTCCAGCTCAATTTCAAAAAATCGATTTGGCTTTAAGTGATGAAGCATGTAATCCATCTCGAACCAATGACGGTAACAATAATTTCTCATAAAGAAAAAATTATGAAGCTTTGGCAATTTGTTGGGCATTTATTATGAAGGTTCCATCGATGCAATATTAGTCTGACTCGGAGTGGGGAATTGCGACTAATCGTAGCATATCGAATCAATACGCAAATATGCTATATATACAAGGCTAAAAAATCTATAATATTACAAATTATAAAATAGATTTTTTTTTAAAAAAATTATATAACACCTAAAGCATAGTATAAAACATTTGTAAGCCATTACAACATTACTTTACTCTATATGTAAGAAGTATTTTGATAAAGGAAGATATCATCTCTTGGAGTAAGAATAAACCCTTAAAATATCAGCAATCGAGAGAGAGAACAAAATGAAATTGTAGAAGTAACATATAACACTGTAAGTTACAAAGTTTAAAATCACCAAGATGATGACATCATATATGATGACAACTACTTCCACACATCAAATGAACAAAAGACCCCACAGTGCTTCATGTTCATTATACAAAGCAAGCTCCTCCATACAGTCAATGCGCCAAATACAAAGGTGAAAATGAAAATGCAACTTCAGAACTGAGACTTGTCCAAACTGTCAAAATAGGGATGATCTAAAGCTGCTTTAGCTGAGATTCTGTCAGCTGGATCATATTTAAGCATCTTCTGCATTGTCCAAACACATGAAAACAATATTAATTTTGCAAAACAGAGATCAAAGCAAGTAAATAGATTCAAAATCGCTCCTTCTTCAGCCACACAACTTCAACATCTAAACTTGTTAGGCAGTTGTCCACACACATTGCAACTAGGAGTCTTGATATTCATTTCAGATTACAATTCATAATACAAACAAGATAAGGAAGAAAGGTTACAATTTATAATAAAAACAAGATAAGGAAGAAAGGTTTTCTTTGTAAAGACTTAACAACAGGATAAACCTAATATTTAAATCAGTAGAATGTATGAACTTTTACTAAAACCCAAAATCAGAATTTGGTTGTGAGAGAAGATTCAGCATGTAGAATTGTGATATCAAAAAGGTACAAATGATTACTTGAACCCAAGTCAGATTTTCTGCACTAGAGTTTCAGAAATGTATACTTAAACCTGAATAAGAATTTGATTGAAGTGAAGATTCTAGACATGGAATTCTAAAGTATTAAAGCATACAATTATACGATGAAGTTCAAGAATAAGTAGTTACCGATAGAAGATCAACACCATCAGGTCCCAATGATGGAACAGCGCGCACCAAATTCTGAGGTTCCCATTGGGGATATACATGCCAGTCACGCAGAGAATTTACTCCAGGCCATTGCTTCTCAGTTGGTGTTCCCAGCAACCTTTAATGATGCACAAACCAGAACACCCAAGAAAATTCAAATGACAATTTAACAATTAACATGCCTGGCAGCCCACGGCAATTACAATATGAGTGAAGCTTTCGAAATGACACGTACAAATTCAGGTGACCATCATTGACTAGCAACCAGACATTTCATCCCATTAATTTCAGAACTTCTATAAGATTTTTACTAAAAATGAGGAGAATTGCTCTCAGAAAAATCTCTCTGAAACTGAAGGGTGGACCCAAGTATTTTGCATCTAAATGTAACTAACCACTTGAGACAAATAGTGGCAAGTCTAACACGACTGCATCAAGCGTTATTTCTTAAAGAAGAGATGTTGAACCTCTAGCTAGTGTTTTGAGCCTTCATACACTTTTTCTTATTTTATAATTAAAACCTCAAGCAACTCTCCTATGGACTAAGCTTGAGGAAAATACAGAAGACCTCGAGGAAGGAATACAAAATCTTTCAAGGAGTTCCTTATAGATAAACCTCAAGGATGACCTCTTCAGAAAGTTGCAGCCTGCCCAGCATGCACTTATTATCACGAGGACATCTTCTCCCACAATAAGTCTCAGTGCTGGCGTTTGCAACATGATTGATTGGCATAGGACTTCCAGTATCTCCCCCCTCCATCAATTGAATCTATGACTTTTCAAAATGAAGTACATTCTACTGAAAAATGAGGTATATATATATGTTGCCATGTATATGGGGGTTACGAATTGGGTTTTGGAATTGGCATGGTTACTATATCAATTGATGCTCTCGGGTTTATTTTTTGAAGGATTCGGCTTATATTTCCTCTCAACATGGAAACATAGAAAACGTCGTGGACACCCACTAATTGTGGCGATATATAACACCAAATAGTAAGCAACTTCACTAACACATTCCAAAATCTCAAATGGCCCGATGAACCTTGGTGGCAACTTGCCACTTCGTCCAAAACACATCAAGCCTTTACGTGAGTCAACCTTGAGAAACACATGGTCTTACACCTCAAAGGTAGTGGTCGGCTTCTTTTGCCAACTTTAAGCCGTGACCAATTGTTGCCGAATCATTTTTATCTTTTCTGTGGTCTCGTCGACTATATCGGGTCCAAAGGTCAACTATCTCTCCTACCTCGGTCCAACAAACTAGAAATGTACACAGCCTACTATACATTGCTGAGACGGTGCCATCTCAATACCGGCCTGATAACTATTGTTATAGGCAAATGATGCTCCCATCTACCCTCGAAGTCCAAGATACAACCCATAAAATATCCTTCAATATTTGAACTATACACTCCGATTCACCATCAATCTGAGAATGGAATGTCATGCTAAAATGAAACCCTGTGTCAAGAGACGCCTGAAAGCTCTTCCAAAACTGTGACGTGAACTATGGATCCCTACCCAAAACAGTGGACATCAAAACCCCATTAAGTCTGACAATCTGCTCCACATAAAGCCTACCAAGTTTCTTCACAACATCTGACACAATGTCCAAAAAGAAAATGAGATGCTGGTTAATCTGTTAACTATCACCCATACGGCATCATGTCCCTTCTGTGATCTCAGCCGTCACAAAGTTCATAGTGATATGGTCCCATTTCCATTCCACAGTCGACCTTTGATTTTTGCTGTCATTCCCATTCTTGTAAACTCAAAATATTATTTTCTTACTTAAAATTGACGTTTTGTAACGAAACCATTAGGGCCGTGACTTTTTTATGACCTGTGTAAGCTTCCCTATATATCATGGCTTGTTTTGAATCACGTTTTCATATGATTTAGTTCACATATGACCAACTAGTATATTAGGTTTTATAAAAGGTCTTGCCGGCACCTTAATTTAGGTTAAAATGCTAAGGGGGGTTGTACCTCATTAGGGTCCATTTAAAGCTCACTTTTATGGTCATTATGTTGACATTTAGCTTTGGTCCAAGTGCAGCCTATGCACACATGTTGGTTACAATTGCACTATTCACATGAGGCCTTTTAGGGTCAAACCCAATAACAAAACTGTGCGGGCTTGGGCTCAAAGCGAACACAACCGTGGTTCTCGTGGTTTTTGTTTCCCTTTTTTCGACGTATATCTTGGTGTCACTATTAGATGATTTATTATTATGTATTTCGGTTGTTTTATTGATTTGAACACAAAACCACACAAAAACAGAGAAAGGTTATTGTTGCGTGTTAATTGTTTGTCTTTTTTCATCCACAACATCACTAAGAGTCGACATATATCAAGGGGGAGCTAATGCACGATAAAAAATACAGTAATAACAAAAAAAAATGTAACCTCGTGGAAGTCTTCTTTTTTTATTTTTTATTATGATTATCCAATTATTAATCAAAGATGTTTGGATAAAGACCATCTTGTAAGGAGATCTGGATAAAGAGACAATCTCTCGAAAGAGTATCTGGTTTTATCCTTTGAAAACAATCTTCAAAAACTCTAACAAACAAATAATAATAATAATAATAATTTTGAGAACATTACAAAATGACATTCTCGAGCATTGTTCATTTTCGAAGAACAATGCTCGAGAAATTGTTAAGAACCAAATTTTCAAACAGATTTTGTTTTTCTGTGAGCTGAAAACTAATATGAGAAAGCTGAACTAAGCAAACCCAATAATTTTGCCAAAATTTACTTTCAACTCAGACAAATATAATCACCATACCCCATATGATTAACCACCAAGCAGTCATATATGCAGTTAGATCGCTAACCAAAAGCCTATATAAATTTGGTTTATAGAAGCAGTCTAATTCAAGGAAAGGGAGTACCTAAAAATATGAAGTAGCTGTTGAAACTCAGAGTCCCCAGGAAACAGAGCTTGCCTTCTTACCATTTCAGCTGCAAAGAATAATCAGGAAAAATTAATAGAAAACTAAATTCACATTAAATGACAATTAAGGAGAAAAAATAAACCAGAAAAAGGGCAAACTTCGGACTGAATGTGCAAGGCAGATTGTGGTCTAATAAATAATATTTTAAGCAAAGACACTGATATCATCAAGTTTGGAAGTGGTTACTTGAGTGAGACTAATCGTATGAGAGCTGATGGCAGCTTCTATATTGTAGAACTTAAATTAAAAATACATTGAATTTGTACCTTTCACATTACTTGTCAACAACATGATTACTGATGGTATGAAAGAAAAGGAAAAAAGAAATCGAGAGAAGAATAAATGAATGCAGCAGTCACTAAAAATAAAATTCCTAGCACCTTACCTTACTCAGCTTATGACTTTATGAGAAACGAAATGCAAAAAACAGCCAATGATCTATGGATGTAAAACTTTGGATAGATTTTTATAAGAAATATTTTGACAGAGAATTATAATGAGTGAATCAAGATGTTAAAAAACCAAATTTGAAACATGGAAAGCATCTGAGTAAGTTGTTACCGAAAATACAACCAACAGACCACATATCCACAGCAGTTGAGTAATGGGTTGATCCCAACAGAACCTCTGGAGCTCTGTACCAGAGAGTAACAATCTGAGAGCAAATAGTTGAGAAAGAGCACATGCACGCAAGTTAATCCAAGAAGAAAAGTTATAATGGAACTATAGTTGTACCCACTTTGCATTTGGCCTGTAAGAATACAAAGAACACAAACCTCGTGAGTATAGCTCTTCAGAGGAACAGTAAAGGCCCTCCCGAGACCAAGATCAGCAATCTTAAGTATACCCTTCTCCTTGTCCACCAAGAGGTTCTGTGGCTTCAAATCTCTGTAATTTTTAAAAAAACAGTGAAACATCAAATCATGAAATATGGAAATCACTACCCAATACCCTCTATCAAATCTCAAACTAGAACCGAAGAACAGGAGACAAAGGAAAAAGTGAGGGAATAAAAACTGGAAACCTGTGAAGGACACCATGGCTGTGGCAGTGAGAAACGCCTTTGCACAACTGATACAAAAAGCTCTGTAATTCAAAAAAATTGAAAGAATTAGTACCTTAAGTTTTGGCATTTGCCAATAATCATACTCCAGAAATAGGGCTTGATAAAAAATCACCTCAATTTGGGAATGCAAAAAAATAAGTCTGAACACAAAAAATAAAAAACAACATAGACGTTAAAAAATAGATGCAATAATAGCTTCATTTGCTATGTATTAGCCAATGATCATTCTTCCCAAGAAGGGTCCGATCGAATGGAGGATCTATTCGACTTGGGGTATGAAAAAAAGAAATAAATCTGAATACGAAAAAAAATACAAGATACAGTGAAAAATGGAAAGCATTAATGGCTTAATATTTTGTACATTTGTCAAATATCAAACTCCACAACTAAAATTCGATGGAGTGAAGGATCTACTCAATTTGGGTATGTAAAACTAGTAAATCTAAACAATGAAAAATAACAACATATATTGATAAAATTGAAAGCATATATTTGTTAAAAAAAAAAAAAAAATTCACACTGCACAAATAGAACTCAATTAGGGTATAGATAAGCTGAATTGAACCTGGATCTGGGAAGGGGGCAGAGGCCTTGGATTGGTGCCTTTGCGGTGGGAATCGATGAACTTCTTAAGATCGGTGTCTAGGTACTCGAAGACGAGGTAGAGGAGGGGCTTGCCGTTCTTGTCAACGTGCTCGACGGAGAGCAATCGGACGACGTAGAGGGAGTGCGACAGCATCTGGAGGAGAGAGATCTCTCTGAGTGCGGTAGGTGGAACACCCTCCTCGTCCATTTCAAGACGAGTCTTCTTCAGAGCCACCAATTGCCCATTCGCTTTGTCTTTCGCTTTGTACACCTTTCCATACGTTCCTTCTCCTACCTTCTCTAGCTTCTCGTACTTGTCCATCTCTCTCTCTCTCTCTCTCTCTCTCTCTCTCTCTCTCTCTCTCTCTCTGATCAATCACAATTGTGAAACCCTAATAAATAAGGTTTTTTGAACCAAAAAGAGTATTGTGAGAGCCTAATGAATGTGGGGTTGGAGATTTGAAAATGAAAACACTTTGAATCGGTTTCCAAGCTTTCTTCAACGGTACCAAAGGCACGTGTTTCCCTCCCTCTCTCTTTTCAAATTTGAATTCTGTCCGTCTGGCACGTGCTTCCTTCCACTGATTTCTCTTTCTCTTTCTTTTTTATTTTTTAATTTTCTCTCTTTTATGATAGTGGCCAATTGGCCATTTATTTTATGGTTTTAGATGGAACGAACAGTGTGAGGGGGTGATTTGTATGGTCAAAGTTTTATATAAAAATTGACTTATACCATATCACATACTTTAATCAATTTTTTATGTACGATTTTTTATGTTTTTACCAAAACTTTTAGTGTCATCTTTATTTAACTTGTGTGCTTTCTCATTTTTTATTTTTTTGGGTATTTGGAGTTTTTTTTTTTTATGATAGGTCAATTTTATACTAGAAAACTTGATATGCGATTAATGCAATAAATTAAAGTACTCAAAATATGTTAATTTAAACAAAAACTTATAACAGTAATTACTTGATGCGGTTTTAATTCATCATAGTGATGGATGAAACTGCCTTCCCACATATTTGAAAAACCAAAAAAAAAAAAAATTATTCACCTCGTCATAGTTCTATTAGAACATTGATTAGTATGGAGAGTCAAAATTGGCTCTTTATTTTTGTAAGAAAAATGTTACATCTTTTGAATTTGGAGATGTTGATTGAATGGTGTTTCGCACTCCCACATCTTTTATTCGGCATCTTCCGAATTTAGAAAATATATATATATATATATATATATATATATATATATATATATATATGGCACCAGGAACTCTCCTAGATATGGCCTGGGGAATATAATGGTTTCAACACCAATTTCAGTGAAGGAATATAATGGGGATGGACGGACTCAAACCTAGAATATATGGCACTCCAGACCGTTACCTTACCAACTCTACCAAGCTCTGGGATATATTGTTGCTTTCTTTGTAAGTACAAAGAGCCACATTAGTTAACGACAAAAGTTACCAGCTCAATCATTCCATATGGTGTTAGATGGACTGGTTACTTATATTATTCTTAATTACTTATATTATTTTAAATTTTATTTTAGAGAGAAAGAAATGAGAGAGAAGGGGAGTGCCACCACATTGGGCTCGCCACAGTCAAAATGAAGAGCATACAGATTTCTTATATTGTATATGTTTCTACGTTTTTATTAGAATCTTTTATTCTTTCTCAAACATCATTTTTTTTGTAGTCCTTGGTTATATATGCACTCGAAATTTCTCCAGTGGAACAGTAATTTCTGTTATGTCGAGTTTGAAATATACAAAAAGATTGAAATGTGTGTTAAATGCATTTCAAACCAGATGAATTTACTATTTACAGAAAGGGATTTTCTTCCGAATCATATGCGTACCTTGAATAATGAAGTAACACTAGCCGACACCATGACTCATTAGTATTCTCTCTCTTTTTGAAGTTAGAGGTGAATAACTTTTGGCTAGCCCACCTATCCCAGTCCTCCAAGTGACCTTGACAATTCGAGCCACTTTCAGAACTGATAGTGGTTTAGGTTTGAGATGTCGGTCGAGGGGTTATAAGCAACTAGCCGACTTCAACGTGAAGACTTAATGTGGTGCACTTGAAACTTGAAAGTGAAATATTTGGAAGCACACAACTCTATATTAAATTAACAATGTTAAACCTTTAATGTGCATGCCTTTGGATTGATTTTGAATGCCTACCAAACGTTACCCCGTGTATTAATCAGTTTTAAAAAGCATGAAATTTCATCCTCAGCGATAATAGCATTGAACTAATTTTAATTTGGAGCCACAATGAACGTGACGCCCAAGTTTGAATTCAATCATTTTTTTTTCTTAGTTAGTATTCACACACACTGCCTCCACTGAAGTTCGAACCCTGACCTCTCTTTGATAAATAGGAACCTTGTACCTCTAAGTCACAAGCATGTTAATCCAATCATTTATTATTTGATTAACAACATTCAAAATATCTCATTATATATATTTATATATATATATATATATATATATATATATATATTAATTCAAAGAGCTAGGTACCAACTCTTATAATAATTCAAGTTATCAATATCATCATTTGTATTCAAACCACTTGACACTCATCTTATATATTATCCTTTAACCCAAAGTAGAAAATCAGTTCTCCAATGAGAGAAAAGTAAAAAGAAAAAAGAGAGCGTATATTGCAAAAGAATGTCCCAAAACTATCATGTTTTTGCAAATAACCCCGATATTGTGGGGTTTTTTTTTGGTAAGCTTCCCCGATATTGTGTTGAAACAAAATAAAAATCACTTGCAGAAATCTATAAACAAGGCCACAATTTTATGTTCCTGGCACGTGTGATGTGAAATTACAAATTTTGATTTTATTTTGTTTACTATATAGCCATTTTTCTTCTTCATTGTCATGAATCTTATTCGTGTAAAAATCATATGTTCTCTGCTTTTCCCTCTAAAGTGAAGGTGGTTTGCTTCATTTCCATCGTACTGTATAACATATGATCAAGAATTCATCAGTGGCAATGGAGATTATCGCATTGGTGGGGTCCACTCTTCTTGTGGAGTGAATTTTGCCATACACAAAGCGGACTATGTTCGGTATTTTTATTTTGACACGAAACAGAAATAATATTTTGTTTGTGGTGTGTGTTCAATAATAATAATTGAAAGTATGTTCGATAACGTTATATTTGTTACAAGATTTTTAAGAGTAAACATGAAAAAATATTAAGTAAAAAGTGTTGAAAGTTTGAAAATTAAATAAATAGTTAAACTGCTGATTGCTACCATGTTTTGCTAAAGTACGGAAACAATCCGAAACGCCAATCTGGTGTTCTTGATTTGCGATTATCAAACAAAGTCAGATAATTCAAAATTTTATTTTAAAGTATGAAGAATATTTAGTGCAGCTCTTGTGATGCTTGAGTTTAAATGATGAATGAGATACATAATGAATACTAGTATTGAGGAGGGGCTATTGTGACCAAAACTTGTTGATGCGCTAATTTTGGTTGTTGCATGATCGGGATCGGCGAACGGCGGCAGGTTGTAAAGACTAATCAACAAGATGTGGCTTCTACTTTTCTTTTTCTTTTTTTTTTCTATATATATATATATATATATATCTCGAACGCATTTTGTAGCCATCAATGGCTGTTATAAAGCCTCCTTTTGTGTATGCTATCGTGATGTCAGAAGCTGGGTTTGGAAGTGGGGGAGAGAGAAAATTGGGAGTTGAGGTGTGAATTGGTAGTGATAAAAAATGGAAGTTGACCTTTGAACCAGTCCAATTATATAGCGATATTTATGACCCACTAAACTCACTTTATTAATAAATCAAGATGAGAATAAGAATAGGAGACTCATCCCGCTGACACGCAAAATTATTACATAGTTTACACTAATAACAAATTGATATGAAAAGAAATGTATGAACTTTATTTATTGTAATTTTAAATTATGTAATAATTTTTTAAATATAAAAAAATAATAGCAGAATGTAGGATATATAAGGTTTATGTATATTGTCCTAAACTCGATTTTGATCTTATCCCCATTGCGTGACATTTTTGTTAATGTTGTTTTTGTGGAGGCTCTTTCATTTAACTATTTTATCAATAATTAATTTTAAAGATCATAATAAAACTCTAGAAGCACGTCTAGAAAGTTGGTAAATTATAAAAGTAAAATAAAATGATATTCATTATGAAAATGTTTTTGTGGTACATGTTACCAAATTTTCTAATAGCCCCACCTAACCTCGTCCGATGTAACATGAATTGTGCTTATGGAATTTGATTTTAAAATGTTTCTATACAATTAAATTTTAGATCCATAAAATTGAATGTCTAGAATGAAATTTATTTTTCACTTTATAAAATCAGATGAAAGGATCCCATTATTATAGATAAAAAGTGAATATATAAGTAATACTACCAAACAGTTTAAATTTTAAAGTAAATGGTAAACCATCCATTACAAGTATGTTTACAATTTACAAAATATATCTGATGGAATAATATAAGATGGTCCCACGCACATAAATTTTGTAATAGGAATTAATAAATAAAAAAATTGTTCCTTGCAACAAAAAACAAAAAAAAAAAAAATTCATGGAGAAAAGCCATAATCTGGTAATCAAATCACCAATTTATCATATTAATTTTCTATCTTGTTTTGTTTTTGACATTTTGTCGAAGAAGATGTATATACATTCTTCACCCGAAAGCTTGGTTATTCATTTACATAATAGGAAAAAAAAACCAAGCTCTACAGATTATATAAATTCAAAAAAGAAAAAAGAGAGAGAGTCGAAAATGGGTTATCAACTCATCATACAACAAAAAATTACAGGAAAATAAGTGTGATGGTGGTGGCTGAAGTTGATGAGACGGACAGCGATGGTTTGTTTGTCGGTGTGTTTAAGTGTGTGTTTGTGTGTGTGTGTTTTGGGGTGTTTGGAGACTCAATTAAGCGCTGAAAATCGTCTAGAGGATCCAAACATCCTATCAAGGAGAATCACGAGTGCCATGGCGACGGCCGAATCGATTTCCGGCTCCACGATGAGACGGAACACATCCACCCCGAAAGCCACCCCTCCCACCGCCTCTTTCCTCTTGATCTCCGCCACTCTCCGCCTCTCGCTGTCGTACACGGCGCAGCACCGTTGCGAGTACGATCCCTCTATCTCATACACAGACTTCTTATTCCCCGGTGACGATGGTGGCGATGATGATCCACTCCCACTGCATCCTGACATCACACGAGCTAACAAATTCGTCCTCAGCCGATTCAAATTCTTCCTCACCGAAAACAGCGGATTCACCGCCGATTCTCCTTCGAACACCATCCAATTGTCCGCCAAGCCCAATCTCTAATCATCCAAACAAAAAATCACACAAATTAAGATCATAATAGTAACAATTATGACATATATATATATATATATATATAGATACAAACATATATATATATATATGTATGTATATGTATATACACATAGTGTATATATATATGTACCTTGCGGCGGAAGGTGAGGAGAGACTTGCCGGAGGCATCCATGAGAGAGATCTCAGCTTTACTGGCGGCGTAGTAGTTGTCGACGCGAAAGACGAGATTGCCGTGGGCGTCGAACACCGTGAAACCATCGCAGTTGAAGAGTAGCGATTTCTTCCACACGGTTAGGACCATCGAGCTTTCGTCGATGGACTTCAGCCTCTCGGTTGCGGGGGTGGGTGTAGCGGCGGCGGCGGCGGCCGCGGCGGTGGCCGCGGCGTTGGGATATACCTTTGTCATTACCGGAATGGTTCGGAGAAGTAAAATAGCAGTGGCAGGTCAACTTCAATGGTAGAGAGAGAGGTTACTTGTTTTGATATCTTTATGCGATTGGCTAAGCTCTACTCCTCCAGCACATAATATATATAGTTTTGAAAAGTTTATGAGCCAAAATGGCCTCAAAGAATCTAAAGCACACTAAATGCGCACGATAGTAATTGTACACCACGTGTGGGTCATTTTCAGTTGACATTAGATTTATTTATTTTTCTTTTTTTTTCAAACAAATTCGCACACATATACAATATTACATAAAATGAAACACTCAAATTTTATACCATCTAAAATAATATCCATGACCAATTGACAATTAGTTAGACACCATATTATGGTAAAGTGAATAAAAACCTTTTGAAGATTATATATATAAAGAGCAAAATTTTAACAATTGGAGAGGAGATCGTTTTTATTTACTTTTTAGTTCTCCATGAAAAAAGAAAAGAAAAATGTTTTAGAAAACTAAAATAAGTACGCTTATGTTAACATTTACCTAAAAAAAAAAAAGTGTGCTTGTGTTAAAAAAATTACAATTATTTAAGTAAGTTAGGATTTTTTTATGACGAAGAATAATTTAGGGAATTTTATATCAGCAGAACAAAATAAGTGATTTTTAGTCTTTTATAGATTAAAAAAAAAAAACTTTTTATCTATAAGTTATTGGAAAAAAAAAAGAAAATAAAAAATTCCCTCTAAACAAGTTTAAATATTTAAATCAGAAGATGGTATTATTCATTATGATCAAACATATTTTTGAAAATTTTATATTCTCATCATCCATTTGAAAGAAGCCTAGATATCACGCACGCACTGTAGAAAGAGGGAGGTGGTGGCTTGGTGGGGACTGATGGTGATGATAATGAAGAAGAATAATAATCAAAGTGGAAACAATGATAACATATGTAATATTATAGGCATATGTGTGTGTGTGTGTGTGACAATAGCCTCTTATCTTTACTTGTAAGACAAATAAAATAATTAGAGTGACGAAAACAAGGGAAATTTTATGTGGCTGAGAACAAATTCCCGGTGGAGAGAGAGGACACCTGTCACACACGACACAAGATATTTTGTGTTGGTGGGTAATAAATTAATGAATGTGAGAGGCTTACATTTGTTAGGAATTACGATTATTCCATTGGTTGGGGCGGTTTGTGCGGCTCTTAGTTTCTAACCAATACCGCGAAAGCAATTTTTTATCATGAATTTTTTATTAGCCTACAAAATATATATATATATAATATACATATTGCACGCGAATAAGTTCCTTGCATTCTCGAAGGATTATCTTTCAATACTCTACAGTTAAAGCAATTTTCTATTCTTATTAACTTATTATATATATACTATATATTTATTTATAACATTCGTATTGCACGCGATTGAGTACCTCACATTCTCGAAGGATCATCTTCGTTACGCATTTGAATTCAGTATTTTGAATGAATATAAATTAACAATAATGATATAAAGTAGTAGTATTTTCATTTTAATAATATTATAGAGCTAGAACTTAATGTAGTTTTGTATGAAAAATATGTTACAGTGCCAATGTCATCATACTCAATGGTTGGATTGCTCCCCGTTGTTGTAGGGAGTTTTGTCTTCGAACCTTCACACTCCCTAATTTTAATTTAATATTTTTTATACAATGTATGATATTAACCTAAAATATACTAAGTGAATATCTAATTGATTTTTTTTTTGCCCATGGTTACTAAAAATATCGGCAACTTTAGATCATCTAAGCTTGATTTTGTTATTTATTTTTTTTTTTAATTTTAAATGAAACCAATCAGACAACAACTTCAATCCCATTGATCAGATAATTATTATTTTATCTACAGGTGATTATTAAAAAATAAATGTGATTTATTTAATTTGCAAAACATTGACCAATTTTCCTACTTCCTAGAATAAGTCGTCATTGTTTTTTTTTTTCTGGGTTTGTCACGTTCACATTTGACATAGGAATTGAACAAAAATGAAATGTCCATTCAAACTCTTGTACATTTATTTAATCTAGCCAATCTCTTTTCTTTTCTTTTTTTTAACAGATAATCTGGACAATCTCTCCGGTGGAAATGTGTGGAATGACGTGTGCATTAGAGATATTTCAATCATTTGTTTTGAACTTTTGATATAATAAAGAATAAATAATAAGAAGCGTACATGGCGATTTCCGCGCGTTAGTCCAACAATGGGGATTGACAATAAAAAGTCGAGAATGAAAATTTTAAGAACAACGATAGATTTTACCGATTCCCATGTCTCACTTGATAAAAAGATATAGAGTGGTGTCGTTAAATCACTAAATAAGTTAAGTTACATAATTCATTAGAATATGTGTCGCTTTCACACTTTATGCATATTGTCGTTCGAATTTTCAATGTTTATGATTTAATTTTGAATTTTTTAATTTTTAAATAATTGAATCACAATAAAAGTAAATCCAATGAATCCAGCTGCACAAATTCAAGATGTCACTCTCACATTTTATAATTTTTTTCCAAATTCGTCTCGACATTGAAAGGAGTTTATTTTGATGCATCTGATGTTTGTCTAATACGCATAGGTAGGCTGAATATTTTTAATCAAACTGGCAAGAAACATTCTATTAAAATAAAAAGCTAACACAAATTATATTTTGATATCATGTTTGGTTACATGAAATTTATGCTTTATAATTGGAATCAGTTCCATGCAACCGAATATAGTATCTGAATCAATTACTTCCTTTACATGAAAGGGAAGAGTTCTCTCCTTTATGACCAGATTCCAATTCTAAACACCAATTCCATGCGATAGAACATAATATGTTTGATTACATGGAATTTAAGCTTTATAATTAGAATCAGTTTCATGCAACCAAACACAATATTAGAATCATTACTTCATTTACATGAAAGGGAAGAATTTCTCTTTTGTGATCCGATTTCAATTCTAAAACACTAATTCCATGTAATGAAATATACTATCAGAATCAGTTACTTCCTTTAAAAGGAAAGGAAGAGTTCTCTCATTTGTAATCAATTTGCACTTTGATCCCTTCAATCACAAGGTATTTAAATTAAACCCCAATTCACACAACATTTTATGGCTTGCTTAGCCACCAAAGCCTATGCCATTACAGCATAAGCTATAAATGGAAGAAAACAAATCGCAACCTTGTAAAATACAACCCAAATAATAGGAATAACAATTTCCTCAACCGCTCGATGGTTTGCATTTGACAGTATATCCACCAGCAGCTAACATACGTCTAGGTCTAGATCACAAATAATATAAGGTGTTTACAACAAAATTCCCCCATTTTTCATGTTTCAATTTTGTCGATTAAGATACTATGGGCATGTTTGTTTTGTCATCCAAAATGTCTAAATTGTTAGGTCTTGTTCATGCATGTGATCTTTAGGTTCATGTTTCATTTCATTATTATAATCATAAACGTGCTTGTTAATTTATTGTTCAACGTATGTACGATTGAAATCCTTTCTTTGTTACTTTAGTTCACCATCATTGAGCATGATATGTCCTGATTAAATACGTAAAAGTGGATAGGAGGACTACATATAGTTATATACCAAACCGAGAAGGTTATTCTTTTATGGAATTACTCCAATGTTTGGAAATCTGGTAATTAGGCCTACTTGTTATAGGGTACACCAATCAAACCCTAATCTCATGTTGCATGTGGTATCCCAATTCCGTGCACGATAGAAAATCGTTTTTTTTTTTTTTTGTTTTTTTTTTTTGGACATATTTGTCATTGCTTACTTTTATTTTGTTGTCCATGCATTTTTATTTTAGAACCATAAAGAACAAGACAAAGTTCATTTAGGACAACCTTATCCAATCAAGTCAAGGGTTCAAAACTCAAGCAATAAGGAAGTGGAACTAACGCTGCATTGTCCTGAGACGATGATTTCTTGTTTACTGGTGAGTAAGGACCTTCTTCAAATTTGTTTTGACATAAAGTATTTTATTCCTAAAAGATTGTTTTTTAGGTAAAATGATTTTTATTTTTATTTTTTTGATATTTGATAAAGGTTTAGGTCGATATTGATATTAAGTTCATCGAGCTGAGTTTGTAAAATAACTTGTCGAAAAAATACCACTTTTTAATATATTTTTTTATAAATATTTTACAATAACCAAGTATCAAAAAATAAAAAAATATTTTTTAAAATTATTTTACATTCGTCCGAACAAACAGAACCTTAATTAAAGATAAAATCGAGTGAATGTGGTAGTTGATAAACATCGCGTGGGAGAAAAAAAATTGGTCGGCAGTAGTAGATGTGGGCGGTAGTAGACGTGGAGCCAGCCCACTTTAAGCCTCAGAGTTCTTTGGTTTACTTATATATGCACGTGCACATGCACATGAACATTAGGTGTCCCTACCCAATCATGGTCTAGCTAGCCGACCACAACCCCTATGTCTGCTTCAGTCAATCGAATTTCACCAGGAATTTAATTTTTCTTTTTTTAATTACCGTCTAACATTCATACCGAGTAATGTTGCAATGTTGCATTGTTTTTTTAAATGACTTCAATCAATAGCATGCAACAATGTTCTATCCATGTGAGATTATTGATCCTAAAAGAAAAAACAGACTTTCTTTTATTTTAGAGTTTTTAAATTTTAATAATGATTCTCAATCCGTTATAAAAACAATCATTGTCAGTGTCATATAAATACACACACATTTGGAAGAGGATAAATGCACTCTCTAATTAATGTAAATAACAAATATACCCTTCATATTTGATTTTCTATTTATAAATTAAGGACATTCATGTTATCTTATTTAAGTGCATCTAATATGATTCGTAATCGTGATGTAATAACTTTGGACAAAATTAGTATAAATTGATTCATACAAATGGAATATCAAATTTGAAAAAAGTCAGCATATCGGACTAACCATGACATCTAGTTAAAAAGCAAACGCGTGTATGGTGTATATGTAGAGAGAGAGAGAGAGAAAGAATGGGGGTGGAAGAGAGGCATAGATTGAAAGTAGAAAAACTTTTGTCTCAAAGGAAAACTATAACCACGAATGATAGAATGTGGACA